AGTAGGAGAATCTTGTGGTTCTGTGACAGCAGCTATCTGAAGGCCACCCTGAGTGCCCCTCCCTGTGGTTTCTCTCCCCTGCTTCTCTCTTTTTTCTCTCTGGTTCGACTGGTACATCTCTTTTTCAGGAATAAGCAAAACTAGGTGAAGCTAGGCCTCTTAGGAGGCCTGGGTTGCTCACCTTTGGAGGTGCAGAACTAGGGCAGGGAGCTCAGTGGAGCTGGCTTCTTGCTGACAGCGTCAGAAACAGGCGTTCCCTCTGCCTGAATTTGGGTTACAGCCTAGATAGTTGCCCTTGCTCTTGGAGCACAAGGTTTGGACCCCGCCTGAACATTTTCTTCTGTCTTCTAAGGGCTGAGAACACAGATGGGTGTGTCCTGCTCCTAGACAGAGGCAGCAGGGGAGGGAAGAGGCACTGGCCAGAATCATGGGCTGTCTTGGAACACTTGGTTGAATCTGCTCCAGCTTTTTCTTTGTAGGAGAGTGACTGCGTGCAGAGTAGCAAAGGGCTGCTTTAGAGCCAGGAGCCTGAATTTGAATTCTGACGTGGCTACCTCTGAGCACTGTGACCTTGGATGAGTTATTTAGCTACTTGGTGGCCTACTTCCCCTCTGAAGTGTTCACCTGTTCTATCTCAAAGAATAAACTAAGAGACAAAGGCACAGGGAAAGCAAGGCTTTAATGATGGTCTTGCAAGATCTAGTATTTAGGTGAGCAGGCACACCCAGGGGAGTTACAGTCAGCATTTTATACCCTAATGCGCAAATGCTCTCCCCTGATTCCTCACTGGCTGACTACTGTGGGGGTGTAGTCATCTTCTTGGATTGAGAGCATCTTGCAGTTTCTCTCTCTGTTGGCTAGGCAGGCCCAGCACCTTCCCTCTCGCCTCCTGTTGGTCAAAGGGCTGTGAATTTTTCACATTCAAATGTTACCTGCTTGTAACTTTCCACTCTGTTCTCCCCTTCTGCTGCTTTTCTTACATTCCAATTTTACATTTATAAGCTAAATACTGTATTCTGAAAATGGGCCACCCGATTTTGTTTCTCACGTGTAGGATTCAGATGACTGTGGTGCCTGCCCCATGGGGTCATGAGAGTGTTCAGTGGGAGGATGCAGGGACAGGGCTTGGACCAGGGCCACGTTCAGGTGAGTGGCCTTGTTGCCAGTAGTACTACTGTAACACTGGTACTTGTGAAGGCAGGCACAGTGGCACATATCTGTAATCCCAGCAGCTCAGGAGGGTGAGGCAGGGGGAATCATGAGTTTAAAGCCAGACTCAGCAACTTAGCAAGGCCCTAAGTAACTCAGGGAGACCCTGTCTCTAAACAAAATATTAAAAAGGGCTGGGGATGTGGCTCAGTGATTAAATGCCTCTGGGTTCAATCTGCAGTACCCACCTGCCATCCCCCCACACACCCCACCCACACACTCCCCCCACCCTCACCCCACACACAAAGCATTGGTGCTTGCTTCCTTAGGCAGTGCTGTTGGGACTTGGAAGGAACTATTTTCTTAGCAGGTTGACAGTTATACATACCCCAACCTGTTGTCCAAGAGCACTAGTTGGAAGCACAGCATAAATAAAGTCTTAAAAGTTAATGCCAGATCCTTAATGGTGCTGAAGGGAATGTCAAATGGCACAGCCACTTTGGGAAATAGTCTAGAAGTTTCACAAAGAGTTAAACAGTTCCCATATGATCCAGCAATTTCACTCCTAGGTTTCCACCCAAGAGAAATGAAAGCATATGTTCACATGAATACTCGTATGTAAACATGCATAACAGCATTGTTCACAACAGCCCCAAAGTGGAAACAAACCCAGGTGTCCATCAACAGGTGACCAGACAAAATGTGGTAAATCCACAGAATGGGCTGTTATTCAGCCCTAAAAAGGAGTGAAATACTGACACATGCTGCATTTTAGATGGTCCTTCAAAGTATGCTAAATGAAGAAACAGACACAAAGGTTGCATTGTATGACTCCATCTACATGGAGTATCCAGAATAAGTAAGTCTGCAGAGACAGAAAGCAGATTAGTGGTGTGGGGGTTTAGAGGGAAGTGAGTTCTATTGGCCAGGTTTTTTAGGGGGGGTGATGAGAATGTTCCACATGTAATTAATTGTTAGCATGACATGAACATGCTAAAAACCATTGGATTTGTGCTCTGTAAATTGGTAAATTGTGTGATATGTGAATTATATCTCAGTAATGCTGCAATTAAAAAGAAAAATTAGGGCTGGGGCTGGGGCTCAGTGGCATAGTGCTTGCCTAGCATGTGTGAGGTGCTGGGTTCTATTCTCAGCACCACGTATTAATAAATAAAATAAAGGTTCGTTGACAAATAAAAAAATATTTTTTAAAAAAAGTTAATACCAGGGTTAACTAAGAATGAGATCATCTAATTTTGGCAGCAAGTTTCTTTCTACCTCATTGGAAGCTCCATGAGTGTATTGGGCTCTGAATCACAGCTGTCCCCTATTCCTTGACATTCCCTCTGTTTTCCCCGTTGCTGCATATGTAATAGGATCAGGTGACTGCCTCACAGTAATATTGAAGGGGCCGTGAAGGACATTGTAATTGTGGGATCTGGCACATAGGTCACAAATGAGCATCAGTTTCCTTCAGTTCTGGCCTGTCTTTGCTTTCTTTTTCTCTCCTAAAACCCCTTTGGGAAGGAGATAGAGCCTCCATTTCACACATGAGGAAGCTGAGGCCCCAGTGAGGAGGAGGAGAAGCTGTGGGCATTACTTCTTACTTGGTTGGTGAGGCAGAGACCCATGACTATGTCCAGCTGCAAGGCAAGATCTATGGCTGGTGGCCCAGTACTCGGTGGAAACAGTTTCTGTGCCAGAGAGGAGAGCAGGCCTTTGATGACAATGAGTAGTTTGGTGACACTGAATCCTGGAATAGTTGTCAGAAGTAGGCCCAGTGGGTGATCCCTTGAGAAGAAAATATTAGAATTTTTGCTGATGTTTTATCATCTCTATTTATCTTTTTATATCTATTTATCACGTTATATCTTGTTATCTATTGGTGCTGTGGCGCACATCTGTACCTTTCCAAGTGCACATTCTGTCAACATTTTAAGACCCCTGGGCCAAGGGTTGGGTTGGTAATCCAGGACCAGGAAGAAATGGGGCCCTGGAAAAGACTCTGCAGTCCCCTCCCTCTGTGATCACTCGTGGCTCATGCACAGTTTTGTCATTTGGTCTCTACTCCGGGTCCAGGAGAAGCATATGCTTCTGTGTGGGGAAGTCCAACTCCAAGCAGCTTAGAGGAGCACCTCAGAAAGGCCTAGGGATTAGACTTCTGTAGAGTAGGATAAGGGGCTGGGGCTAGAGAGAGAGGGTAGAAAAGGTCAAGAACCCTCTCCAGCCAGAAGGCTGTGGGGACTTGGATCCAGGCAAGATGGACTTGGAGACCACTGCCCTCAACTGCTGCTTTGTTGTAGGACAGCCCCACCTGGCTCCCATTGCTGGCCCCTCAAGTACCAGCCCACAGTACCTGGAGCTACCCGGCTATGCTAATGAGAGTGCGGGGTGGCTGCTGCTCTTCAACCCCACCCTTGCAGTGCTGAGGCCCTGCACTGTGAACCCCTGCTGAAGGTGTAAAGCAGAGGCTCCTGTGAGCCCAGCCTCTGCCCTGCCACCTGCCTTTCTGAGCTAGGCCAGTGGAGCCCATTTAAGCTCAGAGGCCCCACAAGGAAAGGCTTCTTGGAGTTGGGGGCTCACTCTGCAGCCTTGGGAAAGAGACCCAGTGGGGGTAGTATGTGGATCCTAGTGACCATCAGGTCTGCTCCTGCAGCATGCATCAGGGCTGGCTGCTGAGAGAGGTGGCAGTAGTGGCTTACAGGTCTGCCTAGTGGCAGTAACAGGAAGATCACACACAGTCCAGTGGAAGAGGCTTGGGGAGATGGCAGCTAACCTGAGTTTGGCAGATGAAACCAGTGGGTGTGGGGTGGAGTAGGGTGGGGTGGTTGGTCTGAGGTTAGCATGGGTACCACATCTTGCCCTCAGACCAGGACCCTCCCTCAGCTGTGAGCAGGGAGCTGGCAGTAAGAACTGATTGGGTTGTCCCCAACTGCCACCATCTGCCTCTTTTTCAAATTGAAGATGCAAATGTTTCCTGCTTCTCCAGGAGTGAAACAAAGGCAAACCCCAGGGGGCTGCAGAGTCAGCCTGCCCCCCTGTGACCCCAGGGCTCTAACCCACTGACTGCTTCTCTGTGGGAGCTGGTAGTCCTGGTATGGCGAGAGCCACAGCACCCTGCCCACCTTCCCAAAGCATCTACACATTTGGTGGGGGGAGTCTTAAGACCAAATAAGGGCTGACAGATCACCTCTGGAAAGGCCTGCTTCTCTAGCTGTTGCCTATGTGAATTTTCTTAAAGCCTTCCTTTCCTGTGTTTGGTTTTCTGTCCCCAATTTCAGCTTCTAACAGCTTTTCTGTTTAGCGGGGGGAAAGTGTTCTGGATCAGAGCTGGCTGGCAGCCTCTGCAGGCTCCAAGGACTGGGCAGGTGCTGGTGGGCTAGCCCTTACAGGGTGCCCAACTCTGTTCCCCAGCCCCATGGCCAGAGCTTAAGGATATGGCTCCGCTCCAGTCCTCTCCTTGTATCTAAAAATAACCTGGCTATTTTGATCCACCTCCTCTGGAGCTTTCTCTCCTTGTTCTCTTGGATCAGCAACCCCTCTGGGACTAAGATCTTGGCTGCCTCTGTACCCCCAGCTGTCTTCACTGAGCTGTCCCTTTCCTGTTCTCCCCCATCCCTGCCCCTTCCTCTGGTGCAAGCCAGGATATTGTTTTCAAGGAGGAAGTAAAGTGCAGCCGGGTGTCCTCTGAGAAAACCTGGCTTGGCCTGCTTCTTCCTGAGTGGGTAAGGGAGGAAGTGGAACTAGGAGGATGGAGGACCAGAATGACCAAGTACTCCAGGATGAGATGCCACCTTGTGCTGCCTCTTTTCTGCTACCTCTTCGTGACTCTGCCTGTCTTGTTCTTTCAGCCCACAACCCTCCCACAGGGCACTATCAACATGAACCAGTGCACAGATGTGGTGGATGGGGAGGGCCGTACTGGCCAGAAGTTCTCCCTGTGCATCCTGACACCTGAGAAGGAGCATTTCATCAGGGCAGAAACCAAGGAAATCATCAACGGGTGAGCACTCAGCAAACAGGAGGGGGCAGTGTGCTCTGCCCCCTGTCAGTGGGCCCTTGCACCAGGCTGGAGTTCAATTCAGCATAAAATGGGCTGTGTGCGATTTTGGCCATGTCAGCATGGCTCTTCCTTAGCTCCCTGTCTCTCTCAGCACTTCCGCATACTGTGCCCACCAGGCCTATATTCCATGTCTCGCGTTTTCTATACACTCCACAAGGCTGCCCATGCGTCCTGCAGACTCTGGGATCTCCTCTCCTTGTGGGGCCACCATGTCTTCCTCTGGTCTCTTCACTGGCTTCCCCACCTCCGTTCTCACCACACCCCAACCCTCCTATCACTCAGCCACAAGGCAGCACATTCCCCAAAGCACATCTTCCCCTGTCCTTTTCCTGCCCTAAACCTTGTCACCATAGAGGTCCAAGTTGCCTGGTGGACCCTATGAGGCCCTTTATGGCTATCCGGCCCCGACACACCACTGCCATGTGCCTCAGGTACTGGACTGCACGGTGTTGACCATGCCCTCCCCTAAGTCTGGAAATACTCCTCTTTTCTCTTTTCCTCTAGGCTGAGTGTCAGCCACTCAGAGGAGCACATCATGTGGAGATGCTGGGCTCCATCGCCTGGCTCGGGTAAAAGCTCCAGATGATCCATGTGTATATGTCTTTTGCAGTGATGGCCCTTGAGGGTAGAGGCATATCTTAGTCATGTCCCCAGTGCCTCACATGTAAGCCACTCTGTGCTCCCACTCTAGAGACTGGCTTCTTTGGGTGGAAAGGACAGACAAGCATTTTGCTCATCCTATTCCTCTATGTAGGGTTTAGAGGAAGGCCTGTGAGGTAAAGGATGCCCACGTTTTGAGATAGCTAATAGTCCTGGCAGATGTGCGCTCCATGCCTCTGAGCTCAGGATCTCCTGATCCAGCAGTGGGCATTTGGTACCAGCACTTTGTAGCCTGGGCCATGGTGTAAAACTGCCTGCTCTGTGTGGGTGGGAAGGCTCAGCGTGCCTGGCTGGGAGCTTGGGGAGTGGGTCCCAGAAATTTCCACTCATCCTTTAAGGATTAAAGGAGGGAGATGTGTCAGAAGAGGCTTTGGAAGAAAGCAAACCTAGGGAATGGCTGATGGCTGCCCTGCAGGGTAGAAGGAATTGGACATATGAAGCCCTTTGGTTTGACAATCGGAAGACTCCTTGGAGCACCACCTTGCTTTAGCACCTCAGCTGCATCTCTGACCCAGGCCTAGAGTAAAGAGGTGAGAGGCTGGGAGCCAAGGGGTGCCCTATGCAGGGAGGCCATCTGTTTGCTGGGGATGAGCTGGAGGAGTACCTTTATGTCTGTCCCTGAGCTTAATCTAGAACCATGGGGCTTAAGGGTATCCAGAGTTTTTGAAGAACCTAGACCTTGCAGTGAGGAGCCTGAGGGCCTAGTGGCAGGGCTGCTATCAGTACTCCTTCTGGGTATGAGTGGCCATCTGCACTTCCTTTTCACACCAGCTGCTGTTGCTGACACTGGCCAGACACACCTGACCAAAATGGATCCCTTAGGGAAACACTCCCTCCTGGCTGTATCTAAGCAGGCTGGGTGACAGGTGAGGCAGAAAGGAGGTCCGGGGTCCCCAGGCAGGCAGGGGAGTATCTGGAGCTGCCTCGGTGATGGTTAGGAAAGGTAATGAAGGTGATGCTTAGCTTTTTGGTGTTTTGGGGGAGTGGGGGTGCTACCGGGAATGGAACTCAGGGGCCCTCAACCACTGAGCCCCATCCCCAGCCCTATTTTGTATTTTATTTAGAGACAGGGTCTCACTCAGTTGCTTAGCCCCTTGCCGTTGCTGGGGCTGGCTTTGAACCCAGGGTCCTCTTGCCTCAGCCTCCTGAACCACTAGGATTATAGGCATGGCCACCACACCCAGCAATGTGGCAGTTATCGTGGGGTCCTTGCTATATCCCAGACCCCTTTTTCATTTTGCCATCCTCTCCTCTTCCCCTTCTTCTCTTCCTCCCCTCCCCATCTACTGGGAATGAAACTCAGGATCTTGCACATGCTAATAAGCAAGTGTTCTGCCACTGAACTACACCCCTGCCTTCTCATTTTATTTTGAGAGAGGGTCTTACTAAGTTGCTTATGCTGGCCTCAAACTTGCTATTCTCCTGCCTCAGCCTCCCAATTGGGATTATAGGTATGTACCACCGTATGCAGCCTCTGTTTTCTGTTAGCATGTATAGGGCCTGCTATTCTCATATAGCATGGATAGACATTGTTTTTAGCAGACCAAAGTATTGGGTGCATGTGGCCTCGGTATCCTGTACAAGGTGCTCCGTAGAGCCAAGGCTTGTGCTGTGGCTTGGTGCCATAGCCACAGCCAGAATAGGTCACCCGAGGCTCTTCCTCTCTCATTGTCTGGGTTGGGGTCCTGCTCATTTCTGTCTAGCAGGTAGGTTCTCATGGTGGCAAACTGTCCCTGGCCTCTGTAGTCATTGCTAGCAAAGTTCCCCGTAGTGGGTCACCTTAGGCGTGAGTGCCCCTTGCACAGGGAGGATCCTAGGCACCCTGGCTTTGGGGGAGGCCAGCAGAAGTGCCCAGGGACCATTACTAAGGATGTCACAGGGGAGCATAGAAGGAGTGGTAGCTATAAGCTGGGACCTCAGAGGTCTGTAACCTTCTGGCTCTGCCTTAGGCACTCCTAGCCCCTGAGGATTTCATTTCCTCATTTCTGAAACTAGAGGCTAGATCCGGTGATGGCTTGAACACTGCACAGAATTTTACAAGGACAAAGGAATTGAACAGTGGCTGCCTCTAGCTGCAACTATCTGCAAGATGAGGGCTTCCCCAGGGACCCAAGCTTCACTTTTTGTGTCTTGCTCCTAGAACTTGGGGAGCTCACAGTGCTATGGGGGCTGCCCTTTCAGCAGCCATGACAGCTGATATTTCTGCCAGGCACTCCAAGGACCTGTGTCTGCAGAGGACAGTTCCTACAACTTCACCAGACTCTCTGGTCAAGTTTACACACACACTCATGGCCCCAAGTGTGTGGGAGCATAGTGGAATTGCAGAGTCTTCCAAGAGCCCCAAGCTCTGCAGGTGCCAGCCCCTGGGAGGAAGGAATGAATTGGCCACCATGTCCTTGCACTGCACCACCAACTGAATGCAGTTTAAGGAGGCAGGGAAGGGCCTGGTGGTGCACTGGGCATCTTACTCGCTGCTTGGCCCTGCTGTGGCTGGGGTCACATATGCTGAAACAGGTGATGGAAGGTGTCCTCACTTCTCAGATTTCTCACAGGAGCCCAGCGGGAAGTATCTAGTGTTAACTAGATGTTGAGGATATTAACAAAATAAACCAAGTGAAGAAAGAAGAGGGGTGACTTTGGGTGGGTACTTGGGCTGCCCAACTCTAGAAGGCAGAGCCGGGGGAATGAGAGAAGGATAGCAGAGCAAGGGAAAGAAGGGAGGCCAGCCCCCAGCTCCGATGGAGAGTGCAGGTGAGGCGTGCTTGCTGGCTTCCACCCAATGCCACCTCCTCTGAAAGAGCTGTGTGAAGTGTGGCCTTAGCAGCCTGAAAGCCTGGTATATGGAAACTGGAAAGAGAACCACTTACTCCCTCTACCCAGCCCTACAGAGACCAGCAGCCTCAAGGCCATTCAGAAGACTGGGAGGGAGGTTGAATGGGCCAGTCCCAGTGGCCCGGCTCCCAGACAGCCCAGTGGAAGCACTTGTACCTCCTTAGGGACCTGACTCTGATGTACCCTGAGTGCTTAGACCCACGGTGGGGCCTAGTGCTGACACATGAGGAGCCGTGATAGGCAGAGAAGGCTGTAGCAGGCACTAGGGAAGGGGCTGTCTACAAGTACAAGAGAAGACAGGAAAGACAAGACAGGAGCACCTGACCCAGAATGCAGATATGGTTGTGTGACTGGCCGTTGAGGCTGAGTGTCCCAACATGGGGAGGGAAAAAAGCAGTTGTCAGGGTCAGGAAGAAATCATCTGCCTCAGTAGCCCTAAATGGCCTCCAGCTGCTGCCCATCTGTGTACTCCACAAATCCACTCAGAGCAGGCAGTTTGAGAGCTGAGTCTAAGCCGTGGAGATAGGTCCATGATATGACAGTGATATCCCTTGTGCCTCAAGGCCTGTGGCCAGGGCCTCTGCCAGAGTGGAGCCTGCCTTGTACCCTGAATCTGCTGTGGCCATGGCAGGGGCATCATCTCTACCTGGGCCTGACACAGCCTGTGCTTCTGCCTTGCTCAGTGCCTAGAAGCCTGGCCACTGGATGAGCATCTCCAGGCAGGAGGTACAGTGCCTGCAACCTGGACCACTCCAGCAAGGGTCAGGGTCTTAATCTGGTGGTCTGTCTCCTCTCTTCTCCCCAGGTGGCTAGAGATGCTAATGGTTTATCCCAGGACCAACAAGCAGAACCAGAAGAAGAAAAGGAAAGTAGAGCCACCCACCCCACAGGTAGGCCTTGGGTTTGCCAGGTGACATCCCCTTGGTGGGGCTGAGGCCTGGGAAGGAGGGTTCCTGGAGAAGGGAAGGAAGGGTTCGTGCTAGGGCTGAGGCAGTCACACCCTACACACGTTCTGATCCTCTCCATGTTCTGAGGACCACAGTCCACACCATCTTCTCCAAGCCACCAGGACACAGTAGCCTGCTGGCGTGCCCTGGGGCTGCTGCCCAAGGGAGGGTTCCAATCAGTAGGCAGGTGCCAGTCAACACTGTAGTGTGTGTCCCTCCCCTGATCATCCTGTTGGCCTCTGGGGAGGAAGAGCATGTGCAAGGGTGGCCTGCTGTATGCATTCCTGTACTGCCACAGCCCAGGAGAGGAGACAGCTGTGCAGGCAGCAGGCTGTGCAGTGGGGAGGGAGAGTCCTGGGGTATCCCCACCCAGTGGGAGACTTTCAGGGTCCCCCACCCTGATTCCCATGTGGTAAGAGAGGATGGCTGGGCTAGTCTCTCCAGGCCCCTCTCCTCTCCCTCCCTCCCTCCCTCCCTGGCCAGGGCAGAAAGGGCTCTGCACCTCCGTCTCTGATATACTTTCTACATTCCTGGGGCTGGGGACCGTGAGGTGACCTTTCTGAGCTTTTACTAACTAATTTGCAAAACAGTTCTGTTAGTATCTGATTGCTAGGATGATTGTGGGTACTGAAGGAAACAAAACCCACTGTGGGCACTCAGCAAATACTAATCCTTTCCCCTCTGTGTCAAACAGTTGGCCTCACCAAGTGCTTTTGCTTTTGATGGATCAAGCCTCCAGCTACCACCCTCTCACCTCCACCCCAAGAGTGAGCAGGATGAGATGGGGTCCCTTGGACATTACAAGGCCAGAGGCAGTGGAAATGAAGAGAGCCAGCCTGGGGTGGAGCCTTGCTGCCCTAAGGTTATGAAGTCCTCCCAGGCTGCCTCACTGAGCTGCAGTCAGGGATGGGCAGGAAAGGAGTGATGCACATGGGCTTGCGGTCCCCTCCCTCACACCCCTTTGACTGCCCTTCAGCCAGTTTGTGCTGAGGTGTCGCATAGGCTCTCCTGACAGCAGGACACAGCCTGAACCCACCCTCCATTGACAGATGTCCAGTCACCATCCTGTAATTCCCCAAAGAGTCCCAGGTGGCACACAGACATCTCCTGAAAGGAAAAATGCCCCATTAGTCAGAAAAAAAATGCAGTCAGAATGCTTCCTGGAGACCGAGAATGGAGCTTCCTTCTGGAGAATAGTAGTCGACACACAGATCCCCCATGCTGCCTGGTGTGAGAAAATATCATAGGCAGAATAGCAAAATTCAGAGTTACACCGGGTTTCCATGGTGATGCCTGAGAAGCTAGGCAGAGCTTCTGCCTCCAAATAAGGTAACTCCAGGGAATTGGTTGCACTCCCTCCCCAAAATGGTGCTGCCCTTAGCCAGGTTCTACCTTTTGGCCAGTAAGGGGGTACATGATCCCAGGGCAGGGAAATCACCCACTTCTGCCCTGAGGGTGTGCCTCTCAGACCTGGGGGTGCAGGGCTCTCAGCCTCTTCTGCTCAGCTCTCTCCTAAGCTGGCCTAGCAGGGTCGCTCTCATTTCTGTCCTAGATCATCCCTTTGAGTCCACTAGTTTCAAAAGCTGTGAAGTTTCATCACACATCTTCCCCAACTGATGTTGTGGTGACATGGGGCCTCTACAGAGGAGAGACAGGCACTATACTGGGTCAAGGTCTGGTCACCTCCCTCTGCAGCATGATGCTGAAGGTGTTCAAGTGGCCAGGGTAAAGTTGTGGGGTGAGCCTAAAGCTTTTGGGTTCCTGGAGAGTCAAGAGCCCTGTATCTGACACTTTCTCCATGGGCTTTTGTAGACCCAGGAGACTTTCCCATTAAACCATCCAGGGCTTGAAGCCTTGGCTCTCTGCTGCATCCAGTTGAATTTAGCCTCTGCCCTGGAGGTGCTCAGTTGGGAGGTAATGGCCCCAAGATGGGGCCATGGATTAGGCTGCAGGGGAAGCAGCCAGCAGAGCCCAGGGCAGGGAGAGGAGACAGGCCCAGCCCTGACCAGAGCCCCACAACTTGTGGCCTGTGAGGCATAGCCTCCAAGGAGTACTGAGAAGGAGTGGGAACAGGAGGAAGCCCTAATCCACTGTTAGGTATGACCAGGGCCAGAGTCCCTAGCCAGCTGTGCAGGCCCTGAAGATCTCTGTTAGCCAGTGGAGCTCTGAGAAGTTAACTCGTCCCTTTTCCCAGTCCCCCAGGTTTGGGTCCCTTTTCAGAGACCTATAAAACAGAAGCCATGCCCTGGCCTGTGTATATATTATCTGCTTCTCCTTCCGTAGGAGTCTCGTTTTCTCTTGAGGTGTCTGCTGTCCCCTACTTTAGGGCAGAGCCCTCCCTCCTTCACCATTTTCATGCCAGGGAAGTAGAGAGGCCTTCTCTGACACCCCTTCAGAGCGAGGGGTCCCATTTTCTCTCTCCTCCTGCTCTGAAAACCCTGTGAATGTTGCTAATGAGCAGCAGACTTCACTGCAGCATTGACAGCATGAGCAGCACAGCTGTCCTGGGCATCCAGGAGATGTGCCTCTTCCTCTGATTTAGGCTGGGTCTGCGTAGCATGAGCCCCAGCAGCCCTCCCCCACATTATGGGGGATCAAGGGATCCCCAAGACCTAGGCCTAGCTGTGTGGCCACACTTGGTCCAGCCAGATATCTCATCTACCTGCTCAGAGGAAGAAAGGCATCTTTGCACAGGATGGACTTCCTCATTGCCCATCCCCACCTGTGCCCTACAAGCCCGAGTAACTTTGTTACTGCTGTCCCAATGAGGACAGTATCAGTGAAGGGGTAGAAGAGATCAGGTAACTGGAGGAGGGACCATCAGTCATGTCCTAGCGTTGTACCTCAGGAAGGGCATGCATGTGCCTGCGTACTTCCTCTCCCAGTGTGGGACTATAGGACCATGGCCAGGGCTGTGCCCCTCACAGGCACAGAATTCTGCTCCTTCCTCTGTGGCCCTCTCTGGTGGCCTCTGCCAGCCCTTGGTCCAGCTTCCCTTCCACTATGGAGACTGATTTATCAAGGATAGTTTTTATGTTGCCTCCCACCGCTGCTGTGCAGGAATCCAGCTACCCTTGAGCCCACCAGAGCTGTGTCTCAGCCTCTGGCCACCTGGAATTGGGGTGGCAGACAATGGCAGAAGGACCTGGAGTGGCCTGGAGCTTGGGGGAATTGTTGCTGCTATGGGGAGTGAAGGTGGCACAGCTGTGATTTATGATGGATGGTCAGGCCAGAGCAGTGTGCTGACTGGAGGAGCAAGTGGCCCTGAGGCTGGGTCTCTGGGTCATTGGAGCCCTCGTGTAACTGGCAGGAGAAACCTGTACCATTTACTTTGGAGAATCTTGACTTCTTCTGAGAAAAGTCTCCAGCCTGAGAGTTAGTGAGCCATTGACTCTGAGCCAAATGGGTGGTCAGGTGTTTGCCTTTGGGCCTACAGGAAAAGCCGTCCTGACTGATCTTGTCCTGTGAGGCCTGTAGTCCTTACAAAGCTGACAGCAGATTTGAACTGGGGCCCCCATCCAAGGGAATGCTCTGCCCCTCCCACCCTTTGTCCTGCTCTGAGGGCATGTAACGGTGGAAATGCTTGGATCCCACACTGCCTCTTCCTGACCACACAAGAGGCCTGCCCTCCAAGGGGGTGAATTGGTGAGACTGAATGGTATGGTGCCTAGCCTGGCTGGAAACAGATAACCCGAAGGCCCTACTGTGTCTGCATGTGCACATAGAAGCGCATACAAATGATCTGGTCATCTTTAGCCCTCACCAAGGGCCCCGGGCCTGAGGTAAGCTGAGAGGTGCTTCAAAAACTGAGGCAGGGCTGCCAGGATGGGACTGGGAGGTGAGCATTTTTGTGTCACCCCCGTCTTTGGCAAGAGAGCTGAAACTTGCCTTCCTTTTGAAAGGGATCGAAGCCGTCCTATTGGCGGCAAGCACCCTTGGCAGGGAAATTGGACAAGGGATGAACTGATGCTGCAGGAAAGCAGGAGATCCCAGCCCCGCCCTTGTCAGGGTTCTGTAGAAGGGGGTCACTTACCTGGGTGCCCAGAACTGGGTTTCTTGTGTCTGCCAAAGCCTGCCCCACAAACACTTCTCCCCTTGGGCAGCACCACTTCTAGGACCTGGGGGAAATGGGACTTGATGCCATTCTCAGTGGGGCTACCAACTTGGTAAAATACTGCAGACAAGGTGGCTTAAATAACAGACACTTACTTCCTTACAATCTGGAGATTAAAAGTCTGGTTAGGGTTACTTCCTGGTCCTCATCTGGGAAGGGGCAAGTCATGGGGCCTCTCTGTAAGGGTACAAGTCCCATTTGTGAGGGCTCCACTCATGACCTAATCACCTCCCAAAGGCCTCACCTCCTAGTGCCATCGCCTTTGATGTTAGGATTGCCATATATAAATGGGGTGGGGGACACAAACATCTTAGGCTGTAGCATTTGACTTCCATTGATGATTCTCTCCTTCACATAGTGTCTGAGTGTTCCATTTTAGCTTCTTAGGACCAAAAGTAGAGGTAGGTAAGGCTTGAGTGCATGGAAACCTGCTCTCTGCATCTACCCTAGGGCCCAGCAGATGGTCATGGACCCAACTTAGAGATGTGATTGCTTCCTTTGCCACATCCATCTCCCCTTGTTTGTGTCTAAAGTACCCAGGAGCCTAGGAATGGCAAACTCTGAGCCAGCCCCTATGGTTTCACCCATGATTCTAGGGCTGCTGTTCTGAGTTCTCTTTGGTTGTGTGGGTGGGAAGAACTTGCACATGTTTGGGACATAGCTTTGGAATTAAGCTGGGGCCTTTCCTCCACACCTTGGCCAAGTGAGCCTCAGGCTACTTGGAATAGGCAACTGTGGCGCCACAGATGTGAAAAGGTCATGGTGCTCTCTGGAAGGAGTGTCTCCACTGTTCCAACATTCCCTTCTGGAGCTTCTTGGCCCCTGGTGCTGTGTAGCTGACCCTGTGTCCCCTGTAGCTGGGCACTCAGGACCTATGAGCTGGCTTGTGCTGTGTGCACCTATGCCCCAACTTACACCACTGTTTCTGCAGGAGCCTGGACCTGCCAAGGTGGCTGTCACCAGCAGCAGCAGCAGCAGCATTCCCAGTGCAGAAAAAGTCCCCACCACCAAGTCCACACTCTGGCAGGAAGAAATGAGGGCCAAGGACCAGCCCGATGGGAGCAGCCTGAGCCCAACTCAGAGTCCTAGCCAGAGCCAGCCTCCTGCTGCCAGCTCCTTGCGGGAACCGGGGCTGGAAGGCAAAGAAGGTGAGCAGTGACCAGCTGGCCTGCATGCTCACCTGTCCTGGTGCCCTGTCTCGCAGTGCTAGAATGGGCCTGCATCCCAGCAGATAGGAGCTGACACTGGGAATTGGTCATGGCCCCCAGACCTCACTCTCCCTTTGTGCATAGGTTCTGGGCAGCCAATGGCCTGGGCTTCTTGGGCTCTGCTCTTGGGTTTGCCATTCTAATTTAAGTTCCATGTGTAAGGGAGGAGGGTAGCTCCTGCTCTCTCAGTCCCGGGGTGGGTATCAGGAGAATCAAAAGTGTTCTGTGGCAATGCCCATGTGTATGAGACCTCTGTCCCTGCACCGTGTGCTTGTGTTCATGCCGCTACCCACCGTGAGCGGCGTTGATGAGGGCTGCCCAGCCCCTATTGCCTCTACCGTGTCCGGGCCCCTGGCTATAGTTAGGGTGCTGGAGAGGAAGTAGTTGGCATCATTCTTTGGTAGCACGTGCCCATCCACCTCTAAGAGCCTTCTGCTCCATTCACATCTGTGCAGCCCTCTGCCCCTTCCAGCCCCCAGATCTAAGAGACCAAAAGGCTGACAGACTGTTGGTTTCCTCCTCAGAGTTCAGTAAGAAACATCTGGTAGGGCGTCTTCCCTCCTGGGCTGGAGTCCTGCTCTCCCTGCCAGCCAGTCTGGGCAAGAGGAGCCAGTGGAGGGGAAGATGGCAGTGAGTCTTTCATTCCCACCTTGGGGTTCTTTCCCTCCCAGCTCTGCCCTTGAGTGATGGACACTGGAGTTGAAAGATGGAGAGATGGCTCCTATTGGGTCCTGTGTGGGCTCTTGAAGCAGCAGTCTGAGTGTGCTACCCTCTCCCCCTCTCTTACAGAGGAGAGCAACATGAGTAGTGACCGCATGGACTGTGGCCGCAAAGTGCGGGTGGAGAGTGGCTACTTCTCCCTGGAGAAGACCAAGCAGGACCTGAAGGCCGAGGAGCAGCAGCTGCCCCCGCCACTCTCACCCCCCAGCCCCAGCACCCCCAACAGGTACAGTTGCCCTGAACCGCCCTCCCAGGGACTTGGTCGTCCCCTTCACCCCCCAGGTCCTCGGGCCCCCAGCCGCATGATCTGCAGCCTCTCCCTCAACTCCCTGGACGAGGCCAGACAGCAGCCTGCTCACGTGGACGCCAGCAGCACTGGGGGACGGGAGACAGAGACGCTGGGGAGCGCCTTTGCCTTCAGAGCCAGCAGGCAGTATGCTGCCCTGGCCGACGTCCCCAAGGCCATCAGGATCAGCCACCGAGAAGCCTTCCAGGTGGAGAGGAGGCGACTGGAACGTAGAACTCGGGCCCGGAGTCCTGGCAGGGAAGAGGTGGCCCGTCTGTTTGGCAACGAGCGGAGGTAAGGCGGGGACGAGGGGGTTCCCGTGTGTGTGGACACTCACTCACACTCTCACACTCCTCGAGCTGCCCTGGGGAAGCAGTGTTCTTTTAAAAGCAGGAGCACCTTTCCCTCTGGGCCCTGGCTTCCGGCCCCAGAGCCAGGCTCCTTGCAGCCAGCAGGATTTCTGAGTGCCTTGGCTGCTGTGGACCAGTATCTCCTGGATCCCTGGTGGATTCTCAACTGCCTGAATCTCACTGGGCTGGATCTTATTCTTCTTGGCCCACTCTGTTCTATGAGGTGACCCTAGCTGTAGGTGGGGACAGACCCTCTTCACTCTGGCAGGCCCATGTGGGCAGAGCACAATGAGAAGGTGCCAGGGCAAACAGCTGTGCCCAGGAAGGTGAGGGCAACACAGTGCCTCTCCCTTGGGGACATGCTCCCTGTAAGCTACAGGGAAGCCATGGTGGCCTGCAAACCCACTCAGTGCCTGATGGTATCACTGTTGCCCTTTGCCCTTTGGCCTTGGCTGAACTGGGGAGGCCGACCAGAGTCCCAGCTTCCTGGGGAGAGATGGGCTGTGGGCAGCTGGGCTGACACTGTAGATGCAGAACTTGGTGCTGAAAAGAGGATGGCTTTTGCCCACTTTCCCCCTGTTCCACTGCCTGAGTTTCCTGAGAACCAGAAGATCCCACTGGAGGCCTGGACAGAGTCCCCACATGTCCTTCAGAGGGTCTTCCACCTGCCTCTATAAATTGAGGCTTTGCAGGAATAACAGGACGCCTCACCTATGGGGATAGACTCTGGAGGTCGTTGGCCCTTACCTCAAAACAAATTTTTTAAAAATATTTATTTTTTAGTTGTAGTTAGACACAATATCTTTGTTTTTTATTTATTTATTTTTATATGGTGTTAAGGATCAAACCTAGGGCCTTGCACGCGCTAGGCGAGTGTCCACTGCTAAGCCACAACCCCAGCCCACCCCAAAACAATTTAGGAGTAGATTTGTACATTTGTCAGGGAAGAAAAACTATAGTTTTCAAAGAAGTTTACTCTCTAGAAAATAGATTTAATTCTAGAAATGTCCACGGTGTCCCTCCTGCCCTGGGCACAGCCTAAGCTGATTTGGAGTTGCTGTTAGGGACACACAATGTTGGCATGGGATCCTTGAGGCTCCCTTGAGGGACAGCTCAGAAGAGGTATGTTTATCTCTCATCCCTTTTCTTAACCCATGGTGAAGCCACGGTCCACCCACTCATCTAAATGTCCCAGATAAAAGGGCCTGTGGTCAATCTCCAGGATACGGGGCTGTCTGACTCTGCCCAGAGTTATTGGACTTGAAAACAGGGGAAAGTAGGTGCACCGTCTAGGGAGAGCAGTAAAGCCAAGGGAGCCAGGTGCCTCCCAGGTCCCTTCTAGGCACCCTGTGTACTTGGCTGCTCTCATATTTCATTGACAGCTTGACAAGATGCCTGCTGTTACCATCCCCAGCCTACAGATGCAGAAACTGAAAACCAGGGTTCAGTGATAGGGTGACATCCTGTAGCAAATAGCTGAGGGGCCCATAGTGGGAAGTCCCTGCTCCCATGGTGTAACCCATTGTTAGAGCCCAAGGTGTCTTTTAAGCAGTTAAGTAAACATATAAACAAAGGGTCTTGCTGGTGATTGAGGAGGCTGGCAGCGTGGGCAGGAAGGCTTTATGCTGGCTGGCAGGCAAACTGTGTGTCATGGTGGCTCTGGAGCAGGATCAGCCAGGGCCTGAGTTAGTGCCAGACCACAGAATTAACATTCTGCACACCTGCTTGGCTTGGCTGCTTCTCAGAGAGACTCATTTTGAACTCATTCTCATCCACTGGCCTTGGATAGATGTGGTTTGGGGGGCTTTGCTCTTGCATGCTCTTTGCCACCATGGAGAAGGGTTTCAGCTGGTGTTAGCACTCTGGGACTTCCTGCCTTTACATACTAACCCTGTAACTGTCCCTTTCTCACTGACCCTAATGACCTCTGACTGGCGGCTGTTGCTCTCTGAGGCCCACTCACTGGATCCCAAGTAGGCCACCCTCTGCTGAACTGGATCCTGTCCTCTGGTAGGTTGCAGCAATGTCCAGAGTGGCAGGAAATCACAGTGGCAGCCAGGACAGGCCTGCCCTGTAGCCGTGAGGCAATTTCTTAATAAGCCTCAGCTAAACCAATGAGCAAGCACTCTGTGTGAGCAAGATGGGCTTTGGGCTTGGACATGTTTGTTTTCAGACTTCCAGAGCCTGTGCAGATGTTTCTGGAACAGTGATTGCCTCTGGCTGCTGAGTGTGGGGAAGCCACGGTCCTTATGGGGCTGCTGGTGACAGATAACAAAGTCCTGCTGCGCAGTCTGACTCCCAGGCCCTTGCCATGTAGGGGTCATGCCCCGGGAACCCTGGCACTCTGAGGGCAGGCGCCTGTTCTCTGTGCTACCTGTGTGAGGTGTTGCTGACGCCTGCAGTGCTTCATGGGTGCCATGTTAGTAACTTCCCACCAACACAGTGAACCAGGGCAGAGGGTGCTGAGCCTGGCCTTGCAGTGCTTTCCCTCAGATGGAGTGGCTGTAGCAAGTGCCTTTCCTGTTTTCCACTCTGACTTCTATCCCTGGAGCCCTGGAGCCCCACAGCATGTGACTTGCATGTGCTTCAGGCTCAACACAGCCCTACTGCTTTCTTGGGGAGCTTCCACGTCAGGTCCAAGTGGCAGCACCCAGGCCTGTCGGGGCCAGATCACCCCATTGCAGTTCAGCCATGCTGGGTGCCTTGCCCTCACTACCCAAGTCTTCCCTTGTGCCCGTGGCCCCAGCAGCCTCCTTAGCTTCCCTCCCTCACACTTGCCTCCTTGCCTGCTCCCGGTCAGTGTCTGCCCCCTTTGCTGGTGTGGCCAGCTGGCCTGACATGAGCCCCCTTCCTGAAGAGGCACTGTGCAGAAGCAAGACCAGGGAAGTGGCACCCACGTGCCCTCTGAGCTTAGCCTGGGTGCTCTGCCTCCCTTGAGTAGGGACCTCCAAGACAGATTCACACTGAGCCTGTCTGGGAAGAGGAGGACCTACGCAGCCTCTCCTGTCGGCAGAGTCAGGTGTGGTCCAAGTGTAGTCCAGATGTAGTCCAAGTTCAAGAAGAAGCACCTTCTCCTCAGCTCTCATTGCTTGCCTGGGACATAGCTGGGGGCCTGAGGTGTCACCGGGAGAGCAGACCTTACAGAGGTCCAGGGAGGAGGGGCTGTTCTCCTGACAGGTCCAGTCCAACCCTAGGCCCAGGGGTCAGCCCTAGAATGCAGGACTGAGCACAGCCCACCACTTGCCAGCCTCTCTGCCTGACCCTGCCTGGACTCCTGACTGAGGGACGATTGGGGTTCCTCCTCTGCAGTGATCATCTTGGGTTTTGCTTCTTTGATTCTGTGGGTGATTTTGGTTTGCCATTATTTGATTTTGAAGACAGTTCTTTTCTGTTTATTCATTCTCCAGCCTTGTTTTCTTTCAGGTCTTGTCCTCTCCGCCCTCTGCTGTGTCGCTGTGGCGTTCGCGCCTCCTCCACCCGCTTCGCTCCCATCTCAGCTCCGTCTCCGGCACAGACCACCTGACGAGGCCGCCGGCCCTCTCACATGAAATCAACCTGCTTTGTTTTGTTTTAGTTTGGTTTTTGATTCCTTTTAATTGTTGGCAGAAACAGTGTTAATTCATGAGCCTCTTTCTTGCTGAATTTTGGGCACCCTGGGGTGGGATCTGCGTCATGATTGTGGAGGGATGCCTTGAGCGTGGAGCCCCTCTGAGGTGGTGGTTGCCTTTTGATTGTGTTCGTGGCTCAGGAGAAGCTGTTGGGTGCCAAGCTGTGTGAAGGCCACATGGGTCAACACAAGAGAGCCTGTAGGGCCTCCAGGGTCGCGCAGGTGCAGGACTGGCAGGGGAGTTCCCAGCCCTGATCTGCTCTTGCCCATGTAGAGGGGGCACCGAAAGAGCTTGGGTTGACCAAGCTTGTGCCTGGAAACTGGTTGGGTTGGTGCTGTGTGAAGCTCGTGCCACCTGCCTGATAGGGGAGGCTTAGGGAAAGTGGGCACAGGCCTTGTGGAGTGAGCTGAGTGTGGGAGGTCAGCTCCAGGAGCTCCTCCTTGACCCAAGGCCAACGCCGCCTCGGGAATGTGGGAAATTCTCTTGCTTCAGCAGCCTCCTACCCTCTCTTACAGGAGATCCCAGGTAATTGAAAAATTTGAGGCCTTAGACATTGAGAAGGCAGAGCACATGGAGACCAATGCCTCGGCAGTGCCCTCCCCATCAAGCGACACTCGCCAGGGCCGCAGCGAGAAGAGGGCATTCCCCAGGAAGCGGGTGAGCTCCTAGGGAAGGGGTGCCAAGGCCCCCATGGGGCTGGGGGCCAGCTCAGGGTTTGGGCACACATGATCCCACACATTCCACGTTCCCCTAGTGCTGGAGATGTGCTTCTGCTGGCCTCTACTCCCTGATCTCCCCTCTATTAGTGAGCCTCTTGAGCGCCAGCCTGTCTTCTGCATCTGCGTTCCAGAACTTCATCCTCCCCGAGATGGTGCTCAAACAAGTTTTATATCACAGGCAGCAACTAGAATGTTCTCTTCCTCCCTGAGGCAGCCCAGCAACAAGGCTGAACATGGTGCCTTTCTTTCTTTCTTCTCTGTCTTGAGTAGCAGCCACTCCCCTCTTTGCTCCATCACAAGGTGGATCATCCTCTGCGGTCCTCCTGTTCCCAGGCACACCTGCCTGCCCACCTCTTCTATAGCTTGCTGTGTCTGAGCTCTTCTTCCTCCCTGGCGACTCTTGTTTGTGAGGTGCCCACTGCCCAGCTGCTGTCCACTGCCACAGAACCTGGTCTTCCTTCTGTGCTCTGAGAAGCTGGAGGATGGGGTGGGGCTAGAACAGTGTCCCTCTCAAGGAAGGATGGATGACCCAGCTCACTGCCCCTGTGCCCACCCAAGCTGCCCTGGGCTGCACTGACTGGCGGCTACTCTCTGCCATAGGACTTCACCAGTGAAATCCCCACAGCGCCTCTATCGGACACCTCAGCTTCCCCCCTGTCTCCACACCGAAGAGCCAAGTCACTGGACAGGAGGTCCACGGAGTCCTCCATGACGGTGAGCCCGGACTGTATGCCAAGTTCTCTGGAGACCTGCCGCTGCCGCTGCTGCTCCTGCTTCTGGCCACTCTGGGCTGCTATCTGTTTGTGTCCTTGAGTTCATGCCAGCTGTCCCTCTGTGCACAGCCCTCATGTCTGTGAGTGCCCCTACCTGCCAACTCACGGCCCACTGGAAGCAAGTCCTGTTTCTTCCCCATCCTGGGCCCAGCAGAATCAGGGACTGTGTGGCATCCTGAGCTCCACGTGGCGGTCTCTGCAGAGGAGGCCACCTTGGCCTTGGCAGGGAATCTTGGTTTAGGAAGTCAGGACTGCATCAGAGACCTTCTGCTCTTCTGCTTCTGGGTGTTCACTTTTGTGGTCTGTGGAGGCAGGAGCCGTGACTTGTTGAGACTTGTCCTGTTCTTGAGTTTGTGCCATGGGGGAAAGCAGGCCTTGCCCGGGTCCTTCCGTGGAGCTTAGATCTACAGCAGTGGTGGCTCAACAGGAGTGGTCAAAGCTCGGGTCATGGGCTACCTCGGCAGCTGGCCCAACCCTTCTGCACCCTCTCCAGGCTCCTGGGCAGGCTCACAGCCTCCAGAGGCCCAGACAGAAGAGATCAGCAGGGATCTACCAGCACCATCCCTCCAGGGCAGGCGCAGCTGCAGTGACACCACCAAAGCAAAGTTTGGGAGTCTTTATAAGCTGGGCGTGGTGGCGCATGCCTGTCACCTCAGTTACTAGGGAGGCTGACTCAGGAGGATCACAAGTTCAAAGACCACCTCAGCAACATGACAAGACCCTGTCTCCAAAAAAAAAAAAAATTAATAATAAGAGTCTTTATTACTTACAGATCCACAACAGGCAGACAATCAGAGGGGAAGAGAGAAACCTTTCATCCCAGGTCTTGTGCAGAACAACCATGTGTATCCAAGAGGGTCTTCCCCTGCATAAGGGTCATCTGGGATCAGTGTCCTAATTTCTCATTGTTATGATTTATTGGATACCTCAGACAACCCTAAAGGAAGGGAGTCTGGCGTAAAGCAGGAATTAGAGGGCTCCACCAAGGAATGTGCTTCCTGGTCAGAGTGGTCCAGGCAGCAACCCACCACTGTTTCTGTGTGATGCAGCAGGTCTCCTGGAACACACCTGGTTGTTACCCTGCTACTTCTCATCTTTTGCAACTCCCTCCCTGCCCTGGGAATACTGAGACGTCAAAGCCAGTTCTGATCAAGACAGCAGGAAAAACAGAGAAGGGGTGGCTGGTGTCTGTGTGGGGACCTGCCTCACAGGAGCACAGAGTGATGGGTGAGGGCCTTGGCCAGGCAAGATGCGGGTGTTCTGATGTGGCACTGTTAGGCTGCCTCTCAGATGCACCCATGCCTGAACAGCATAGGTGAAAAGGGCTGCTGGGCCTTCTTGTCTGCTGTCCTGCATCTTATGGGCAATGGAGACTGAACTTCCTCCTGATGGAGGAGTGACTTGAGGGCCTGGGAAGGGCTGCTACTGCCTCTTTCCTCAACACCAGATGTGGTCTATGCCCCCAGGCTTCTGTGACTTTGCTTTTCCTGCGGCTTTGGCAAGAGCCCCTGAATTCTCCTTTCAACTGTCCTTACAGACCTTCTCCTTCATGAAATCCAACACTCTACTGGGTCTGTTCTCTGCTCCAGACAGGCCTTGTAACAGGACCCACGCAGGCTAGGGTAGGCATCTTGGGGCAGCTGGGCAGCCCATGCTGCTGCTTTCCAGGGCAAATGAGGCCATGCCCACTCTCTACCTGGTATCTCCTTCCTCATGGACTCACGTGCCCTTGGGCAGCATCCAGGAGGGGCAGGGAAAGGCACACAGGCTCATCTGGCAGGTGGAGAAACCCCTTTTCCTGGTGCCACTTCGTCTGGACAAAATTATCAGCCCCATCAGCCACGCTTGTCCACAACTGCACACCATGAGGCTTTCCTCTGAGCTGTTTCTTTCTCTTCCTTTCCCAGCCTGACCTGCTGAATTTCAAGAAAGGCTGGCTGACCAAGCAGTACGAGGACAGCCAGGTGAGTTTGTGGAGCTCCTATGACCCTGAGGACTGAAGCAGGTGTGAATTCTTGCTGACCTTGTCCCTGGTGGGATCTGTGAGCCCTAGCTCCATCTCCCTACCATGGGCACGCTCAACTCATGGACCAGGACTAGCCAGGACCCCCACCTACTCATAGTGCAGGTGCACAGATCCTGTTGTCATGGTGGCAGGGACCCTGGGGAGGCTCCACTTGGCTCTGCTGGCTGCCTGCAGTATCTCTTGGCCTTAGGCCTAGGGACATTCTATAGCATTCACCCCCACCACCTGGTATCATCTTCCTAAAGGTTTTCTAGGGGCCCAGGGACAGAGAAGGCCTCTGGCAGTGGGGCTAACATGTGTTATTGTACAAAGCAGCCAAAGGTGGTCACCTAAGATTGCAAGACCCTGTGTGCAAGAAATCAGCTCTGTTGCAATGGCACCATTAGGCCCTGGTGGGAGCAAATGTAGTCCATTCTTGCTGCCAAATCCAAGCAGGTAGAGCTGTTTGCAGCTGGGCCTGACAAGGGTCTGAGGCTAGAAGTCCTGGCCGCCTGAGAAGGCGTGAAGAGGATTCTGCAGGGTCTAAACCCAGGAGACCCTAACCCTGGCCCATCCCGGCTTCCCCTCTGCCAAGACATCCTCTCTCCCTTCCATATCGGATCCCTTTGGCCTTGCCTGAAGACTCAAGGTCCCCTCCTTGCTGCTCACAGTGAAGACTTGGTACCACTTCTGCTGGTGCAGGTGGGACATGCCCATCTGGGGAGCCAGTCAGATGGCCATGGCTCTTGGTGCCATTTCACAGCCACCTTTCCATTGTGATGGTCTGCAGACTCTGGAGGGGGGATGGAGGCCTACAAAGCACTTGGTCACCAGCTGCACCACTGTGGATCACAGAGAACCCCCAGCTAAGGCCACCCCACTGTCTGCTGCCTTTTCACAGAGGAGCCACAGCTTAGCAAGCCTCCCTGAGGTTGAGCACATGGCTACCTGCATCTGAGCAGTCTGTGTGCTACGTGCCATGTCGGGGGTTGAGGCTGCCCTTTGCTTACCCTGCGTTCTGGAAGGTACTCCTGGACGCTGGCTGTAGGGCACCCTGGAGTGGTAGTTGAATTTTGTTGTTTGTTTCTTTCTTTCCTGTTAGTGGAAGAAACACTGGTTTGTCCTGGCAGATCAGAGCCTGAGGTACTACAGGGATTCCGTAGCTGAGGAGGTGAGTGACTGGCTCCACTCTTCTGGGAGAAACCTGAGGGGCGCAGGTGGCATCTTGGAGCCTCAGGCTCTCGCTGCTGTTGCTTTCTCCTGGGCTGATGTCCCAGTCTGTCTGGGGAAAAGTGTTCCTGCTGCCATCCTGGGTGTCCTGGTCTTTGTCTGGTGGGAGCAGCCAGACCAGCTTTAACAGCTCATGACTCTTCCTGCCTGTGACAGCAGGCTTTCCTGAGACCCTGTTCAGGTACCTCCGCACAGTAGGCTTTTGTCACTCCCGTGTTTCTCTTCTTTGAAGAACACTGAAATTTGAATACTCAGGATGAGCAATCTGATTGTTTCTACAAAGAGATTTGTGGTGAATTGAGTCGTTGGAGGAGTTGAACTAAATCTTGTCCTGTCTTTTGGATAAGACATATTTTTGGCATATGATGGGAGAATTCAGTTGGGACCTTAACAATCCTAACACCATGACTGAAGACCAACTGGGACAGACTCTTTTCTTCACCTGTCCCCAAAAAACACCCCCTTTTGAATAATCGAGAAAGTCTGTGTGCTTAATTTTCGCTGCTAATTCTACTCAGAATCCTTCAGTTGCACCCATACATCTAGAAAAAGATCTCAGTCTCAAGTTAGCCATTCTCAGACCTTTGTAGTAAAAAGTGGGAAAGAACCTGAATATCCATCATTAAACAATGTTCTTCATATTTAAATATTCTGAATTGGTCTGCGTGGACTTGAAGGGGGAAGATGTTGCCAGTAGGATGTAGGTGCAAAGTGTTGTGGGCAGCAGGCTCTGCTGTGTCCAAGATCAGGGATGGAATACAGCGTTCTGTGATTTCAAGAGTGGTCTGCAGACCCCTGGAGACCCTGAGTTCCTTTCAGGAGAGCTGTGATGGTCAAATGTTTATAATAATAACTTTTTTTGTTGTGTTGATGTCTGCATTGAGGTACAGAAGCAGTGGTAGGCGAGACCCCAGCACCTTGGCACAGGCTGCAGCGGTCACTGTGTTCACACTGCCAACAGTCATGGTGTTTTTTTTTTTATTTATTTTATTTATTTTTTAATTGGTTGTTCAAAACATTACAAAGCTCTTGACATATCATATTTCATACATTAGATTCAAGTGGGTTATGAACTCCCAATTTTACCCCAAATACAGATTGCAGAATCACGTCGGTTACACATCCACATTTTTACATAATGCCCTATTAGTAACTGTTGTATTCTGCTACCTTTCCTATCCTCTACTATCCCCCCTCCCCTCCCCTCCCATCTTCTCTCTCTACCCCATCTACTGTAATTCATTTCTCTCCTTGTTTATTTTCCCATTCCCCTCACAACCTCTTATATGTAATTTTGTATAACAATGAGGGCCTCCCTCCATTACCATGCAGTTTCCCTTTTCTCTCCCTTTCCCTCCCACCTCATGTCTCTGTTTAATGTTAATCTTTTCCTCCTGCTCTTCCTCCCTGCTCTGTTCTTAGTTGCTCTCATTATATCAAAGAAGACATTTGGTATTTGTTTTTTAGGGATTGGCTAGCTTCACTAAGCATAATCTGCTCTAGTGCCATCCATTTCCCTGCAAATTCCATGATTTTGTCATTTTTTAGTGCTGCGTAATACTCCATGGTGTATAAATACCACATTTTTTTTATCCATTCATCTATTGAAGGGCATCTGGGTTGGTTCCACAGTCTAGCAATTGTGAATTGTGTTGCTATGAACATCGATGTGGCAGTATCCCTGTAGTACGCTCTTTTAAGGTCTTCAGGGAATAGTCCGAGAAGGGCAATAGCTGGGTCAAATGGTGGTTCCATTCCCAACTTTCCCAGGAATCTCCATACTGCTTTCCAAATTGGCCGCACCAGTTTGCAGTCCCACCAGCAATGTACAAGTGTACCCTTTTCCCCACATCCTCGCCAGCACTTGTTGTTGTTTGACTTCATAATGGCTGCCAATCTTACTGGAGTGAGATGGTATCTTAGGGTGGTTTTGATTTGCATTTCTCCGACTGCTAGAGATGGTGAGCATTTTTCCATGTACTTGTTGATTGATTGTATGTCCTCCTCTGAGAAGTGTCTGTTCAGGTCCTTGGCCCATTTGTTGATTGGGTTATTTCTTATCTTATTGTCTAATTTTTTGAGTTCTTTGTATACTCTGGATATTAGGGCTCTATCTGAAGTGTGAGGAGTAAAAATTTGTTCCCAGGATGTAGGCTCCCTATTTACCTCTCTTATTGTTTCTCTTGCTGAGAAAAAACTTTTCAGTTTAAGTAAGTCCCATTTGTTGATTCTTGTTATTAACTCTTGTGCTATGGGCGTCCTATTAAGGAATTTGGAGCCCAACCCCCACAATATGTAGATCGGAGCCAACTTTTTCTTCTATCAGACGCAGAGTCTCTGATTTGATATCTAGCTCCTTGATCCACTTTGAGTTAACTTTTGTGCATGGCGAGAGGAGGGGATTCAGTTTCATTTTGTTTAAAAACAAACCGATTCTTGGGGCTGGGGTTGTAGCTCAGTGGCAGAGCGCTTGCCTAGCATGTCTGAGTCACTGGGTTCAATTCTCAGCACCGCATATAAATAAATAAATAAATAAATAAAGGTCTATCAACAACTAATAAAAAATATTTTTTTAAAAAAAGCTGAGTCTTAATTGGGCAGTAAAGGTTAATAATTTTATTAAGCCTCAACCTTTGAATGCCTGTCTTTTTTGTATTCTGTGATTTAAGTGGGAATTCAGCATCAACCACTCAGCCACAGGCTGTCTTATGGAACACACTTGGGCTGTTGAGTTGTGAGCTGAACTAGTCATGTCTTTGTGCAACACCATTATTGTTTGAAGAAAGAGCTGACAAACTGGTCATTCGATTTGTGAGTTAGGTAGACTTTTTTAAAATCAAGAACCTATTCCTACCAGGTGTGACAGTGCACACCTGTAATCCCCAGCTACTCAGGAAGCTGAGGCAGAAGCATCCCAAGTTACAGGCAAGCCTGTATATCTTAATGATATCCTGTCTCAAAAAACAAAAGGGGCTGGGGATGTAGTTCAATGGTAGAGAACCCCTGGGTTTAATCCCCAATACCAATACTAATAATAGTACTAGTAAATAATAATAAAAGAACCTGTTCTTTCAAGGAAAACAACTGACAGTTCATTGCCAGTAGTACAATTTGAGCTTTTAAGAAAAAATTAATATAAAAAGAACAAATAAATTTTTTTAAAAAAAGGAATATTAGGCTGGGCATAATGGCATAGTTTTGTAGGTCTACTGGGGAGGCTGAGGCAGGAGGAATACTTAAACCCGGAAGTCAGAGGCCAGACTGGGCAATGTAGGCTCCATCTCAAAAAAGTAAAGAAAAAATGATAAAAGAAAAAGGTAAAAGTAGAACTTCCAAAAATTCCCATTATATCATGAACTTGACAGCTTCCCTTTTACTTGTGGACTTCTCAGATGAAATTGGTGATGATTTAACAAATGTGACATTTTGATCCCACATAATGAACTATGTGGACGTTTGGAAGCTATGTACAACCTAATGTTTTCCAAGTGACACCTGTTACAGCATCATGCCTGGCAAAAGATATATCCAAAGGGCAGGATAAACTGTGCACTTAATATAACAACCCAGAAAACTCACTGATGGGATTGCAGATTTCACAGTTTACTTTTGAGAAACTACTGCTTGTCAAAGAGTCCATAGTTAGCTGGAAAGACTGTTAAAATCCATCCTTTTCCAACTCTGAGACCACTTTGTCTTAATAAACTTCAACCAAAACGATACACTGAACAGACTGAATGCAGAAAGAACCCACCCATCCTCCTGAAGCCAGACACAGAAGAGATTGCAGAAATTCAAAACAGTGCCACTTTTATCATTGACTTCTAATCATATTTTTAATTTTAAAATGAAATGAGTTTGGTTTTACTTTTAAATAAATAGTTTAAAATGTTCAGCTTTGATTTTTAATGTAAATATCATAAGTAGATAATCTGCACATACACAGAAACTCTTTGTTTTTAAAAGAGTCCTAACCAACACATTTAGGCCCTGCTGGCATGGAATGTCTTTAGCCAGATACCCAAGAACATGGTAGTATGGATGCTCCTGGGGAGGGACCTGGGTCCTACAGTGGTTGGGATATGTAGTCAAGGTCTATTCCCATTAAAGACTTAGTACAAGGGAAGGTGCTCATCTAGACATTGGCTCCTCCAAAATCTCTTAAGACCCCCTCATTTCTCTCTGCAGGCAGCTGACTTGGATGGGGAAATTGACTTGTCCACATGTTATGACGTCACAGAATATCCAGTCCAGAGGAACTATGGCTTCCAGATACACGTGAGCCCAGGGGAAAGGGGGTACATGGGCTTGACCAGCAGGGATGTATCTTGGAGAACCTGACGTCTCAGCAGGGCCCCCGATGGCAGGGCTAAGTCTTTTCCATTAGTGTTGACTCCTGTCCCTGTGGCCCTTGGCCTCCAACCCTAGAGCGTAATGTGAACACAAAGGTGGACATCTTTTCTCTCAAGGCTGTTTAAAGTCTTTTGTTACTGAAGCGTGGTGTTTTGTTCGTGTTTTGTGGTACTGAGGATTAAACAGGAGCATTCTACCTCTGATCTGCATCCCTACCCCTTTTAGTTCTATTTATTTTTTATTTTGACACTGGGTCTCGATGATAAGTTGCTGAGGCTGTCCTCCTGGAACTCACAATCCTCCTGCCTCTGCCTCTCAGGTAGCTGGGGTTTCAGGAATGTGCCACCATGCCCTGCTGTTTTTTTTTGTTTTTTTTTTTTTTAATTTTGATGCTGGAGTTTGGGGCCTTTAGAAGGATTAGGATATGGAGACTACCTAAAGTGTTTGTTAATTATTTAAAAGATAAAGGTTTTTATTCACTTATTCATTCATTCATATATTCATTTGCAAGTCTATTTTTTTCCAAAATCTTGTGAACAGTGCTTCGCTTTTCTCTCAAAACAGTAACTTGTTGGACAAATGAAATAGTTACCATTGGCTATTACTATAGAATTACCTTGGAGTCAGCCCTATCCAGGATTAAGAGCACAGGACTGCCATATCCACTCTCACCTCTCACACCAGTTGCAAGTTTGGGGGTTTCCAAAGTAACCTTGAACTTCAAGAATTCTCTAAAATGACTCAGAGCACTAAGGAAAGCACTACCTTTAAAATTACTTTTATTATAGCAGAAGGGTACAAATTAGAACCAGTCAATGGAAGGGACACATGGGGTAGAACCTGGGACCTGGAGGGTCCCAGAGTATCTGTGTCCTTTGGGGACACTGTACCCTCTTGGCCTTGTCACGAAACAATACACAGAGCATTTCCAGATCGCTAGCCTGGACCTCAGTGTCCAATTTTCATCAAATTTTCATAACGTTGTAACCAGTTGAGTTTTCATCTTTAGCCCCCAGCCCACCAAAGTCACTTTACACGGCCCAGTCTTAACCCTCTGAGTTCATGGTTGGATTTTGGTTTTTCTGACACAGCCAGCCCCTCCCCAGATAATCTTGACAGTATCAGCTGTCAGGTGGGGAGTCAGGAATTTGTCATAGGTAATGCTCCAATTACTCAGGCAGGATTTACAGGTTACCTCCCAGGGGCTTAGGACAGAGGCCAGGCCTGTCTTTGGATGAAGCCTCTTTGTTTTCTCTTGTAAGAGCCTTCAGATTGGTGGCAGTAGGAGAGTTGTCTCCCACAGGGCAGGCTCTGGGACTTGGTTTCTCATAGGATGCTGGACGCTGGTGGACGCACTGTAGCAGGTTTCACCTTCCTATCTGGGGGCCCGGAAACTCAGCTGCGCTTACTTCCTGTGTGTCGCTATGCTCAGAGTTGACCAGGTACTTTGGGACAGACTTAGACCCACCAAATTCAGAGGACATGGAAAGCTAGCTCCGGTGGCCGATGTGTTAAAGCCCACTGCCACCCCTGGGCAGCCGTCACGGCTTTCCTCCACATGCGGTCTGTGAGGTACCACGTCATGTGGAGGTGGCACTGAAGGCCTGCTTCCAGGGCTGGTGTTGTTTGGTTGCTCTCAGCAGCTCACAGGGCCCTGCTGCAGTGTTTTTCTGCCCCTCAATCCCTGTGGGAGGAGCAGAGCACTCCATGAGCTCCTCACCAAGATCCTTCTCAGTGCCAGACCTGGTGTGGGCTGTGGCTTTGGGGGCCCCTGCTAGCCCCAGCACCCCAGTCTTGGTCAGCAGGCATCGGGGCAGGGCGTCCTGCAGTTGAGCTCTCCCACTCTTTTCTAGTGATGGCAATGACACTAGACTTTGTAGGGCTAGGTGTGGATAGGTGTTGCCACTTTGCCTCTGTGGCGATAGACCCTCCTCATTGCTCTGACTGGGGGCTTACTTTTGAGTTTTCATCTTGGCACTTGGTCTCCATCTTTAGCCCCCAACCCACCATGCCTGCCATGAGCCCCAGGGGCTGCCAGCCTGGATCAGGACAGGCTGTTTTCACCCTGCTCTACTGGGAGAAGGTTCTGCTCTAAGTCGGTAGAAAGCACCCGTGTGACATAACCGGTGACTGTACGCTAGGGAATTGTCTGGCAGCACTTGCAGGGCAGCAAAAAGGGGTACGGGTCAGGTAGGTTCTGTGGTGGTGAGCAAAGGAGGAGGGAGGGGAGCTGAGCAGCAGGAAGGGACATGAGAGGAGGAGGGCAGTGGGGTCCCCTGAGGCCCACAGAGACGCTGCCCAAAGAGCTGCCTCGGGATGTAGGTGCTCTGGAACCTGGTTGGTGGTGCGCTTGGGGCTGTGATGGGCTCTCTCGAGAACACGTATCAGGCAAGTGCCGTCCTGAGGCTGGGAAAGAGAGGTCAACTAGAGATGAGGCCCATCACAGTGGGGCTCTGTGACTATAGACTCCAAAAGTGCCCTACTGAGGGGTAGAGAGGGAGACCCCCAGAGGTGTGAGCGCACATCACGGGCTGCAGCCTAGAGAAGAGTGGGGTGTGGCCTGGGGCTTGGTCCCTGGTGAGGAAGAGACCAAGTTGATCTGTGCTTGGCAGCAAACTGGGCCAGCATGTGATCTTTGGTGTGACTCCTGTGCTAAAGCCATCTTGGTGATTGCATCTTCCTGCCAGCCGCTTTGTTTGTGGTGGGGTCTGAGCAGCCTGGGTAGCCAGTAGGATGGTGCTGTAGCATTCCCTTCGCTAGGTGCAGGAAGACGACTCAGGGGGAGCCACTGGCCGCATGTCATGCACCTGTCCTTTCTGAAGGTGCTTGAGTAGAGCTGCATGGGGATGCAGGGATCATGTCCCTAAGGCCATGCACTCTGGGCTCTGCCTGGGAGTCCCTGATGGAGTGCTTGTCATCCTCCATCAGCTCACAGGTAGCTGGTGTAGAGCAAGAGTTCAGTACATGTGTGCTAGCCCTGTAGGGGCAAAGGCTCTATCTGCCACTTCTCTGAGAGTCTGCCCCATGCAGCTCTTGACTGCTAGCCTCTGCCTTCCTCCCTGTAGAACCTGGTCTCTGCCTAGTACAAGGATCTCCCCTGGAGGTGGGAGGTGGCAGTCATCTCCAGGGACCAGTCACTGGGTGACACCTATGTCTTTTGTATAGACAAAAGAGGGCGAGTTCACACTGTCTGCCATGACTTCTGGAATCCGGAGGAACTGGATACAGACCATCATGAAGCACGTTCACCCAACCACTGCCCCAGATGTGACCAGGTGAGATAGTCGGGGATGCCTAAGGGAGCCCCTCATGCATCTTACGGGGACCCTCTGGCTCCTGGTAAGGGAGCTACAGTTTTGGATCTGTCATTCCCCTGGACCTGAGCCTGGCTACATCCCAGCACAGCTTCCTTCCCTCCCTCTTCTGTCCCACAGTTGGCTGGCCCTGCTTGGTCTCCTTGTGGCTCTCTGGTTTTTCTGTCCCAGGCTGGCTTATCCTCTTTTACTGGCCAGGTCATCCATGCAGGTCACCTTTGTGCCCATTGGTAGAACTGTGCTTGACAGAGAGTCTTCTTAGTCTCTCTCTCAGCCCAGGCCTGGGCTGAGGCTGTGCCGTGGGCCCTGTCTAACTACTGTCCTCTGGCTGGCGAGGGCAGTCCCAACGCTGCAAGGCACAGGCCACCTAGCTTTGCTCTTCCTTGGTTTCTTTTCGCCTCACTCCTACATCTGTTTGATTTCTGTGCAACCAGGAAAAGCTTCTCTCTGAGACTCTCACTGCTGAAGCCCAAGCTGGAAAAGTGTGTTCTCTCCTGTGTTAGCATTCTGTGGTTCGTATCCCTTGGGACCCACTGCATGCCTTCCTCCTCCTGCCCTGGAAGTTAGAAACCTGCCACCAGTTTGCATTTTCAGAGAAAGTGGAAACAGCTCCACTGTGCAGGGTCTGGCTCTGTGTTGGCCAAACACTGCTGTGCCCACCTGAGGCCACAGAGCCACCATGTGTTCTGAGCATCTCCTGTGCCTTCCTGTGCTGGGGAGGCTCAGGGTGTTTCTGGCTCCAGAGGTCAAGCTGTGGCAGGCAGCACAGTGACGGCAGTGGCTGTTGTGGTCTGCAGCAGCCTCTCCCACATCTGTGCTTGGTCAGAACCTTCACCTCCCTCCAGAGGCTGACTCCATCCCCTCTGAACAAGAAGGAAACTTGACCACCCCTTTACTTCAGGCCCCTTTTCTGTCATACATTCATTCCTTCATTCATTTGCCAGCAGTATCTAGTTGTTCCTATATCATAAGGTCAGGAGGTTGTGGCCAAGCTCAGCAGCCCTCCTGCTGTCTCTTGGGAGCTTGGCAGAGGGCTGCTGCTTGCTGGTTTTCATCGAAGAGCCCTCCAAGTCAGGAGCAGAGCCCACAGTGCAAGGTGCCCGGCGCTCTTCCCAGCTCCCATAAAAGGCCTCACAACCGAACGAGAAAGGCACCTGTGTTGCCTGCCCAGGCTGCACAACAGATGGTGCGGCTGTGTGCTCAGGCGGGCAGTGGATGCGAGAGGGCAGGCGGCCTGCTGTCCTCTTCTGCCAGGCCTGGGCTGCATGCTCAGGTTGAAGGTCCTGGCTAGAAAAAGTCAGTGTTGGGATATTTGGGGGCAGGTGCCAAGAGGACACTTGTGCACACCATGTGCTTGCATGCGGCCTGAAAGGGGTGGTCTCCTACATGGACGTTCCTATTCCCCTCCATGCAGTGACTGTGGCCTCTGGGGAACAAGATGGAGGCCAGTGTTGTGCTTTCATACCAAAGTGGGCCTGACTTTGTCTTCCTGACTAGAGTGGACCTCACAGTCTAGTGTATCTTAAAGTTGGTAGAGCGGCCCCCCTCCCGTTTGTTTTTGCTTGTGTTCTTCTATGTCAGCTCTCGTGAGCTGAGGAAAACTTGAATTGTTTTACCACTACAAGGCCAAACTCCAAGAAGGTATTAGATGCAAAGGTGACAGTGTCAGAGCTGCTGGCCTCATTCTGTTTCTTACTGCTGTCTTGCAGTCTGTGGTGGGTAAGTCACAGGGCACTGGCCTTGGAGCTGGAGAAGCCTTGAGGAGAGGCAGCTTCTGGAAGCATGTCTGTCACACCCACCTGCACTCACATGTCATCTCCCCCCAGTGTTGAGCCTAAGCCAGCTCGCTCTCGACTCCATGATGCAAAAGACCCACTCTGGGTCATTTTTCTTTGCATGTGTGTGTGGTCTTAGGTTGGACCCTTGCCAAGTCATGCTGCTCTGAAGCACTTTGATCCTTACTGTTTGTCAGGACAGGTGGTCCCAGGGTCATGGGAAGTGCTTCCTTTTCCCTGGGGTCCCTTTCACATCCTCTTTTCTGTTTGGTTTTAGTATAAACACGGGTGCTCCTGGGTGCTCCCCCTGGGCCTTCACTGTCCCCAGGTTTCTTCCAGTTCTTTTCTGAGGCTTGGACAAGACCAGGGAGCGCTCTGCTCAGCCTCAGTTTGGCTGGCAGTCTCTGGGACTCTTTCCTTGTAGCCCAGAAGCTTCTGCCCTTGGAGATGTCCCCAACCTTCCCCTGCTCAAGTAGAGGCCTCCCCAGAAATCTTCCCTTTGGAGCAAATCCGGTAAAGGCAAGAGTTCTTCAGGCCAACCAGTTTCATCCCAGCCTCTGCTGGGCAGGCCAAGGTGCCAGGGAGCATGACCTGTGCAGCCTACAACCCTGGTCACCTCTGCTTGTGTTACCTTTCCCTGCTCCCCACTCCCCACCCAGCCCTTGAGTCACTGTGTGGTGTGAGCTTGTTACGGCCTGGGCTACCTGTTCGCTTGCCCCACAGGTAGTCTTGGTCTTTGACACACTTGTCATGCCAGTGGCAGAGTAGGCTTTTAAAACAGAGCTGATCATGTCACCTGCTTTTTGAAACCTCTGAACCCTTCTTGGGAAGTGGTTGGTTCTTGTATATTCCATCACCAGAACAGGGTTGCCCCAGAGTCAGCGTCACTGTTTGGTCAGTGGCTGGGCTCCTCTTACCGCTGTGGCTCACTGGAGTTCCCTGGGCTACTCTTGTTCATCGTTTTGGTAATGGAGGCACCATGACACTCGTCTCATAGCATCCTCTCAGTTAAGGGGTGCATGCTGGAAACCTTGGAAACATCTGAGGCTCTTTCTCTTACTCCCCATCAGAACCAGGTTTAGGTTCTCCAAGGGAGGGAAGCTGAGTACAGGTGGGTCATTCCTTTCTGCTGTACTTAGGAAGTTGCACTTGGGATAGAAGACAGATGTGAAGCAGGTGTGGGCTGGGCCATAGCTCACCTTTGCCAGCTCTGTAGTGGGGCTGGGGTGTCTCAGGCCCCCCTGACAGATGCTGTTACCCCCTTGCCCCATAGCTCATTGCCTGAGGAGAAGAACAAGAGCAGCACATCTTTTGAGACCTGCTCAAGGCCAAGTGAGAAGCTTGAGACGGAACCAGGGGAGCCAGATCCTGAGCAGAAGAGGAGCCGTGCACGTGAACGAAGGCGGGAGGGCCGCTCCAAGACCTTTGACTGGGCTGAGTTCCGCCCCATCCAGCAGGCCCTGGCTCAGGAAAGGGCCAGCACTGTGGGGCCTGCTGATGCCCATGAACCGGGGCACCTTGAGGTCGAGCCAGGGGAGCTGGAGCGGGAACGTGCACGGCGGCGGGAAGAACGCCGCAAGCGATTTGGGATGCTGGACACTGCAGATGGACCAGGTGCTGAGGACATGACCCTGCGAATGGAGGTTGACAGGAGCCCAGGGTTGCCAGTGGCCACTGACCTCAAGACACAGAATGTCCATGTGGAGATTGAGCAGCGGTGGCATCAGGTGGAGACCACTCCTCTCCGGGAGGAAAAGCAGGTGCCCATTGCCCCCCTGCACCTGTCCTCCGAGGATGGAAGTGACCGACTCTCCACTCATGAGCTGACATCCCTGCTGGAGAAGGAGGTAATGGTGGGCCAGCTCCCCCAGTGCAGCAGCCTGTCCTGAGCAGTCTGTGCTCAGCTGTGGCCTGTGGGTTCAGCCATGTAGTCTCCCCCTCAGGATCCACAGACCCCTAGAGGACATGGGTGCATAGACAGGTCTTTAGAGTGGAGGTGGGGGGCTGAGCACAGCAGGTTGCCTGTTTGGGATGGGGAAGGTGTGGCAGGCCTTTCCTGAAAGATGGAAGAATTCATGGTGCGTGTGGACCTAAGTAGCCAGAGGCAAGGCTGATTGACTTGCAGGGTCCAACTGGTGGTCCTATTTTCCCCATTATAGGGCATAAGCTGGAGGTTTTAAGTGGCAGGGCATGTGATTTCGATCTGCCCAGGCATTGTTAAGAGGTGTGGGTTGAAGCTGGAAGTTGAGACGGCCTGGGTGCTTTGTCAGTGACCTGAAGGGCTAGCAAGCAGACCCAGGAGATATAAGTTAGGACCAGATACTTAGGATGTAGAGGTGGGGTGTGGTGAGGTAAAGCTGGGCAGGCAGATCTAGGACCCCAACATAGAGCTGCATGAGCCAACTCTGTATTCCCATCATCTGATGCTCTCTCAGAAATGTACATCAGGATAAATCTGCAAAACCTCTCTCCACAAGGGATTTATATGCCTTGCTAGCAAGTTCCTTGGCCAAGGAAATGGCAGGGTAAGCATCCCTAATCCAAAAATCCAAAAAACTTAAAAGTCCATAACTTTTTAAGGTCCAACATGTCACCACAAGCAGAAAATTCTATACGATGAAGCTTTGTTTCATGCACAAAATAATTAAAAATACCGTATAGGGAGTTGGGTATGTCACTCATTGGTAGAACACTTGCCTGTCATCTTTGAAGCGCTGGGTGCAGTTTGCAGCACTGCCGACACACATACACACACACACACACACACACACAGACACACAAATGCAGTATAAAATTACCTTCAGGCTGCATATACTAAGGTGTAGATGAAACCTAAGTGGATTTTGTGTTTAGACTGAGCTCATTACGTATAAGCAAATATTCCAAAATCATGAAAACCTGAAATCTAAAACACTTCTAATCTGAAGCATTTTGGATAAAGGAAGTCTTTGTTCTACCTGCCCCTTAGGGATGCCCTTCAGCAGCAGGCTTCTCCTACCATCCACCGCTTCAGCATGCCTCACATGTCTCTTCTGGTTTTGTGTTTTATTTATGAGTTAATAGTTATCACTAACATCAACACTTTGACTTTTCCATTTTCTACACTGGCTAATAAAATAATACAGACAAGATGAGATAAAATAATTCAAACTCACATGACTCTAAGCTACCAAAAAAAACCTGCTAGCCTTTAGGCCACACACTGAATCACCTGTCTATGGCTTCACAATCTGGGCTTGGTCTTTAATGCTTCACAACTGAGAATTTCCTGCTTCTTGCAGCCCAGCCAGGCAGCACACTGACTCCCTGCTGCTCAGTTGGCTCCTGACCACCAACCCCAGGAGGGCAGAGCACACATAGGAGCTAGAAGGTTTGGGGGGAAATGGGAGATGGATACATGAGTGAACTACAGCTTTTCAAAGTGAGAAGAGTATAAAATAGCTTATAGGTTTCCACATCTTGGTCAGATTTGGGGGGATGAGGGGGTACTGGGGATTGAACTCAGGGGCACTCAACTACTAAGCCACATCCCCAGCCCTACAGTTTCCACATCTTGTTTGAGGAAACTACAGGAACCTTTTTGCAGACAGAACTTCATGTGACATACATCATGTGCAGCTGATCAAACAGCCATTTCAAGTTGGAGCCACTCAGGCCTATGGTTGCCCCTGTGGAGGACAACATGACCATTCCAAGGACCCCCAAAGACCCTGTTGGATGGTCTCTTTCTAGTGAAGATGGAAAGCCCTTAGTTCTCAGTGGGGCACACAGCCTGCTTCTCAGAAAGGAATTTCCTGCATAGGCCTTGGGACCTGTGGAAGGGCTGACATGGTGAAACCATTAGTGCATGTGGAGGTTTTGTGGGTACCAGGGTTACCTAGGGTAGGAAGGACAAGCCTGTCCCTTGGCCCTCAGAGGGTAGTGGCTGCCAGTGTCATTTGTGGCCTGGAGCTGGAAGCTTCAATTCTGGTACTGCAGGTATAGGCCAGATACGCACATCCCTTGGGAAAAGGAGACCCCAGAATCCTGAACAAATGAAGGAGGCACCTGTGGCAGGCCTGCTGCCTTCAGGAGGCCTCTGGGGGCCTGTGCTGTGTGGCTGCTTTTGTTTATTATTGTCACGTTGCTTAAGAAAATATCTTTATGCCAACAGCTGGAGCAGAGCCAGAAGGAGGCCTCGGACCTTCTGGAGCAGAACCGGCTCCTACAGGATCAGCTGAGAGTGGCCCTAGGCCGTGAGCAGAGCGCCCGGGAGGGCTATGTGCTCCAGGTAGGGGGGCAGAGCAGTTGCTGAGGCCCACAGTACAAACAGGGGCTTCAATGTGAAGGGCAGATGCTGGGGCCGGGCAGGCTAGGAATGTGCAAACCCCAGGGGAGCTCACACTTCAGCTTTTCTACCAGAAAGACCAGGACTCTGAAAATGCAGGGGGCTCTGGTTGGTTTTTCCCTCCTACTGTGACGTTTTGAGAAATGGGCCTGAAACCTCTACATTGAAAGGTTTTATTATAATGAAATCATTTTGGTGATCTCTCCTTTTGGCTCTCAAAGTAGCCAGTGTTTCTTATGAATACCATACATCTGCATGCCATTACCCATTGTTCTCACAAAAGTAAGATCAAGCCCATTTTACAGATTGGAGAAATTGAGTCACTCGGCAAGTTGGTGCCTGCTTATGACCATTAGCGAGTTAGTCGCAGATCTAGAACTGGACCCCATCCCTGCCCATGTCACTGGGAACGTGCAGACCTGGGCTATCAGTACTGGCCTAGTGGCTGTGCTTCTTACTTTCTGCCTAGGCTGAAATTTCAGGAGTCCATGACCCCAGCCTTCAGCCAAGGGCGAAAATCAGAAGGGTGGCAGCCTGGGTCCTAAGCTGACAACCCACACCTGGTATCCTTTCACCAGAGGTGTGTGCCACAGAGTCCCAACCCACGACCAGACCCACAGTGTGGCCACCCTGATGGGCATGTAAGGCGGGAGGTGGCAGGTGTGAGGGCAAACAGTCTGAGGCACAAAAAAGACATGCCCCTGCCTCCACGGTACTGTTGATGAATTAGTTCTGGAAGGGAGTGGGGTGGGGTGACAGAACCAGGATTGAAGCTCTCAGTGGAAGCTGAGAGTGTGGCATTAGAGTCAGGATCCTGAGTTGAAGAACTGACCCAAGAAGCAAGTGTTCCTCCCCCCTGTATCATCAGCTCCCTGCTGGTGTAGACCTAGTGATTCCAAGGGCCATTTGACTCTGTTGCCCAGAGTCTCTGGTGAGTCGGTCATCAGCATTTCTAGATTGTCATGCACTAACCTCCGTGTGAGGTGTCCCAGGTCTGCCTTCCTGCCTTTCCTCCCGCCTCTGCTCCTGCTCGTGCCTTTGGCCTTCTTTCTCCCCCACATGCCTGCACCTTCCTCCCCTGCCCCTTTTAGTACATTCAGTGCCATGCCCAGTTCAGACTCTAAACCCATGGCAGCTGTCCTCCTCCTACATGTCCCACTCTGAGAACCTTGAGGTCATTTGTGCAGGCCCTCCCTGTTGGAGAGTATCTTTCTAAGCCTTGGTCGGGCCCCATCCTCCAAGAACCAACTTCGGTCAAGTGGTAAATGCACTACAGTGGGCTTTGCACATTGCTAACCTGGGAACGTTGCTGTGTGTCTGATGTGGACCATCACATCAGCCTTGTTAGCCACGGGTGGGCTGCTCTTCCTAACTTCCTGCTGCATCTAACAATGGGGGACTCTGCACCACCCTGAGCTTTGGAAAGGCAGGAGCCTTGGGCCTGAGCATCAAGAGGTGTGATGCTGGGAGGGTGCTGCACTAACTGGTGGGAGGAGCTTGCATGGTTTGACGTTGAGTGTGAGTTTAACTGGAACTTAACATAACTGAGTGTCACATCTGTGGCTTCCCCACCAGTAGACCAGGAGGGAACCTGAGCAGGCCAGATTCTAGGCGGGACTCTCCTCACTCTTTTTCATGTTTTTTTTCTCTTGCATTATATTAGTTCTGTCCATTCTGCATGCCTTTCACCTGGGGGAGTTTTCTTTCTTTTGTGGTTTTTTTTGTTTTTTTTTTGTTTTTTTTGCATGTTTCACTCTCTTATTTTGAACTCCACAAAGGTTTGTTTTTGTTGATTATACATTTTACTCCATGGTTTGCGTTCCCCCTCGTTTTGTCTTCTTACAGGTAGAGATTAGTTCTTCCTGTTACTGTGGAGGCCTGGCTACGCTTTCCAAAGGACAGTGTTCCAGATGTCACCTCACTGACATCTCCCGAGTGGTTACCTTCCTTCCTTCTCTCCCTGTCTTGGAAGGAAGTGACATCACTTACCTGCACCTTGCGTCCTGCGCTTGTTTAGGATTTGTGGTCTAGAACTGTGTATCTTTTGTTTTGCAAAACAGATGCAGGCGCTGTGCTCCCCTGTCCCGCTTCCCGCCGTCCTCTCGTCCTTCAGTCTGTTTTGCTTCTCAGTGTGTTCCATTACTCAGTTTTGTTTGGTTTATTTCTCCTAGAAGCTGTTTGGTTAGAGCTGTATTTTGATGTTATTGTCCATGTTTTCTGTTACCTGGAAACAACTTAGCAAAAAATAATCATAATAATTAAGATAATTCGTTGGAGTTTTTTAAATGGGAAAAAAAAAAAAAAAGTTGTACAAAGGATAAAAGGCAAACCCACCAAGGAACTTTTCTGTGGTTGATCTTGGCCAGAGGTGTGACACTCAGAACGGGGAGGCCCGAGTGTTACTAACCAGTATTTAATCGATTTTTTTAAGACTGAAGTGGCCACCTCCCCATCGGGTGCCTGGCAGAGGCTCCATAGAGTCAACCAAGACCTCCAAAGTGAGCTGGAAGCCCAGTGCCAGCGGCAGGAGCTGATCACGCAGCAGATACAGACCCTGAAACGTAGCTATGGGGAGGCCAAGGATGCGATCCGGCACCACGAGGCCGAGATCAGGAGCCTGCAGGCGAGGCTCAGCAACGCCGCCGCCGAGCTGGCCATCAAAGAGCAGGCACTGGCCAAGCTCAAAGGCGAGCTGAAGCTGGAGCAGGGCAGGGTCCGTGAGCAGCTGGAGGAGCGGCAGCACAGTGAGGCCGCGCTGAGCGGCCAGCTGAGGGCCAGCGAGCAAAAGCTCAAGAGCGCAGAGGCCCTGCTGCTAGAGAAGACTCAGGAGCTGCGGGACCTGGAGATGCAGCAGGCCCTACAGCGGGACCGGCAGAAGGAGGTACAGAGGCTACAGGAGCGCATTGCTGACCTCAGCCAGCAACTGGGTGCCAGCGAGCAGGCCCAGCGGCTGATGGAGGAGAAGCTGCAGAGGAACTATGCGCTGCTGCTGGAGAGCTGCGAGGAGGAGAAGCAGGCACTGCTGCAGAACCTGAAGGAGGTGGAGGACAAGGCCAGCGCCTACGAGGACCAGCTGCAGGACCATGCGCAGCAGGTGGAGGCTCTCCAGAAAGAGAAACTTAGTGCCAAGTGTGAGGGCAGTGAGCAAGTGCACCAGCTGGAAGAGCAGCTGGAGGCCCGGGAGGCCAGCATCCGCCAGCTTGCTGAGCATGTGCAGAGCCTCCGTGATGAGCGGGACCTCATCAGGCAGCGGTTCCAAGAGCTGATGGAGCGTGTGGCCACATCCGATGGGGATGTGGCTGAGCTTCGGGAGAAACTGAGAGGAAGAGAAGCTGACTACCAAAACCTGGAGCACTCACACCGTAGGGTCTCTGGCCAGCTGCAGAGCATGCGCACTCTGCTGAGAGAGAAGGAGGAGGAACTGAAGCACATCAAGGAAGCACATGAGAGAGTTCTGGAAAAGAAAGAGCAGGATCTCAGTGAGGCTTTGGTTAAAATGGTGGCCTTGGGGAGCAGTTTAGAGGAAACAGAAATTAAGCTGCAGGCAAAAGAAGAGATTTTAAGGAAATTTGCAGATGAGCCTCCAAAGGAATTGGAAGAGCCACAGAGCACCCCAGAAGAAACAGAGGACCGGGGTTTACTCTCGGGCCAACAGCTCCCAACTGCTGGGGCACCTCCAGGCTTACCCCACATGCGGTTGGAAGATGAAGACTCAGGAGCAGGGCTGGGGGAAGAATGTGGGGATGGCAACCCCAGCAGGGAAGAGAGTGCAATGCCCCTGAAGTCCTTGGACGCTCCTGACAGGGAGGGGCATCCACAGAGCACAGCCAAACCCGACCAGGGAGCACCTGGTGTTAAAAGGCAAAGAATTCGGTTCTCCACAATCCAGTGCCAAAGATACATCCACCCCGAGGGGTCTGAGAAGACCTGGACCAGCAGCACGTCATCAGACACCAGCCAGGACCGGTCACCCTCAGAGGAGAGCATGTCCTCGGAGGTCACCCCTAACACGCTGCCTGTGGCCGGAGACTCCGAGACATACCTCTCCATAATCCACTCCCTGGAGACCAAGCTGTACGTCACAGAGGAGAAGCTTAAGGAAGTGACCGTGAGGCTAGAAAGCCAGCAGGGCCAGAGCCAGGAGGCGCTCCTCGCCCTGCACCACCAGTGGGCCGGCACCGAGGCACAGCTCCGCGAGCAGCTTCGCACCAGCCTGCTGCAGGTCGGCGCCCTGGCCTCCCAGCTGGAGCAGGAGAGACAAGAGAGGGCCACGAGTATTGAGAGCCATGTTGGGGAGCTAGGGGACTTCCAGGCAAAAAATAGTCAGGCCCTGACATGCTTGGAAAACTGCCGCCAACAACTAAGGTCCCTGCCCCACGCTGGCCAGGAGGATGAGCGGGAGGCACATGCAGCCTCCCTGGCCAGTGTGGAGAGCACACTTATGAGTGCCATCCAGGCCCTGCAGTCCTGGCCAGCCCCCACAGGTGGTGGGGCCCAGGCTGGGCAGGAGGAGGGGTGCTCCGTGGAGAGCGGGGTGGCAGCGCCTCTGCGCCAGCACGTGCTGAGTGAGCAGGAGCAGGCAAAGCTGCTTTCTGACCAGATGGCCCTGGAGGCAGCCCTGATCAGCCAAATAGCAGACTCACTGAAGAGCACGACCTCAGACGTGTCTCGCCTTCTCCATGAGGTTGCGTGGTCAGAAGAGCGCTTGCTGGAGGGAGAAAGTTGTGCCATCTCTGCTGAGGCCCCAGCAGAGGCCTGGGCCAGGAAGGTGCTGGTGGATGGCGAGTTCTGGAGCCAGGTCGAGTCCCTGAGTAAACGCCTTGGGACACTGGGAGGAGAGGCAACCAGCTCATCAGGAGATGGGCAGCAGCATGTCCCCCAAAGCCTGGCCGATGCCACATGGGTCCGGGCAGAGCTCAGCTTTGCCACACAATTGGTGAGGGAGTCATTCCACCGTAGGCTGCAGAGTGTCCAAGAGACCCTGCGGGGGACGCAGACTGCCCTGCAGCAGCACAAATGTGTGTTGGGGGAAATCCTGGGAGCTTATGGAACCCCAGATTTTGAGAGAGTGATGCAGCAGGTTTCAGAAGCCCTCGGGCGTCCAGAGGGCAGTGTGGACAGTGTGCAGACGTCCTGGGACCTGAGACTGTTAGGAGAAGTTCTGAGTCCAGACACAGACAGCTCCCAGGAACCCTTGCATGTGTCCCATCAGAGCCCTGGGGCCCTTGTTGCTATTCAGGAAGAGCTTGCCCAGCAGCTGAGAGAGAAAGCCAGCATCCTAAAGGAGATCGCTGCTGCTTTGCCAGCCCTACCCCCTGCTGAGTCATTAAGGGGTTGTCGCAAGCTTCTGCAGACTTCTCAGACTCTCTCCTACAGTGCTTGTTTGGGAGGCCTTGGTCAGTATTCATCCTTACTGGTTCAGGATGCAATCATTCAGGCTCAGGTGTGCTATGCGGCCTGCAAACTCCGGTTAGAGTATGAAAAGGAACTTCGATTTTACAAGGAGTCCTGGCGAACCAGGGAGACCTCCTGCCAGGAACAGGCACAAGTGGTTGGGGCCCTGCGGGAGGAGTACAAGGAGCTCCTCCGCAAGCAAAAAAGCGAGTATCTGGAGGTGATTGCCCTCATAGAAAGGGAAAATGCCGAGCTCAAGGCCAAGGTGAGCCAGCTGGACCATCAGCAGAGGTGTTTGGAAGAAGCAGAGAGCAAGCACAGTGAGAGCGTGTTTGCCCTGCAGGGCAGATATGAGGAGGAGATCAGGTGTGTGGTAGAGCAGCTGAACCGCACTGAGAACACACTGCAGGCCGAGCGCAGCCGGGTCCTAAGCCAGCTGGACGCCTCCGTCAGAGACAAACAGGACATGGAGCGGCAGCATGTGCAGCAGATGCAGACACTGGAGGACAGATTCCAGCTGAAGATCAAGGAGCTGCAGGCCATCCACGAGGAAGAGCTAAGGGCCTTGCAGGAGCATTACTCACGGAGCCTGCTGCGCCTGCAGGAGACCCTCAGCCTCTGCCAGCAGCAGCACCCTGAAGCCCTGCCAGCCCCCTCCCCCCGATGGCGGCCAGAGTCTGGGGCTGCCCCACAGGCAGCCCAAGGAGAAGCTGACTCCATGACAGGGCTGCGGGAGCGCATCCAGGAACTGGAGGCCCAGATGGATGTAATGCGCGAAGAGCTGGGCCACAAGGAGCTGGAGGGCGATGCAGCTACACTGCGGGAGAAATACCAGCGGGACTTTGAGAATCTCAAGGTCTTCAGCACTTGATTTGCTAAATTGATTCTACTTGCAGATGCAGGGAGGGGGGCTTCAGGGGCTGCCGGGGCTCTCAGGGCTCTCAGAGCTGGGTGATATTTCTCCATTCTTGGCTGCCGTATGGCCAGAATCAGGTGCTGTTCTGCTATCCCTCTATTCATTGGTCATGGTAGGGTCTGAGCATCACCCTCCCAGAAGGAGGACTAGTGGAAAGAAGGCAGGGTCCCTGTGGAGAAGAGAGTGCAGTCCATGCTCCCAGGGCAGCCCCACCACCTCATTCCACCCTCACAGAATCCAAGGCTGAGGCATCTGCCCGAGGACTGCCTTGTACTCTTCAAGTGCAGTCACGTTTTTCCTGACTGTCCTAGGAATTGGATTTTCCCATATAGGACTATTTTCAAGTGTTAAGGGTCTCTTTTCTTTTTGTGTTCGTTTTGTTTTTTGGTGCTGGGGATCGAACCCCAGGGCCTTGTGCATACAAGGCAAGCATCCTATCAACTGAGTTCTATCCCCAGCCCCAAGGGTCCCTTTTCTGTCCCAGCTACCTGTAAGTACCAGCACTGGGTAGGCACTTGTCTAAGAAAGGCTTTTCTCTGGACCACAGTTTCAGGCAGCTCCTGTTCCCTTCCCCAGTAGCTGCAAAAGAGACTGACGTCTACACCCACCTGTTTGGCACTGCCTTGTAAGCCCTGGCCCACAGAGGTGGTGTCTCAGTCCGGGCCAGTGGAGCAGTCCAAATGCTCTGGCCACCCCCACTTTGTGACCTCACTGCAATATGCACATAGCTGCCTGGGCGTCGTCCTAGAGGTTCTTGACATCCTTTAGACTCAACTTTGCCCCAGTAACTGTGCCCTCATTTCCCTCTTCCTCCGAAAGGTATGTATGACGCATGCCTCGGCCCTTCAGGCATAGCCAACACTGATCCCCCTGTCCTTTCACAGGCAGTTGCTCCTGCCAGCCAACAGCTACTTCTTGGCAGAACATGGTGACTGCTTCCCAGTACCTTACTCTAGCGCTGAAAGTGACAGAAAAGTGTTCTTATTCTTTGCCTCTGTGTGATGACCTAGCCCCTACCAAAGACAAGAAGGGGAGTCAGGAGCAAGCACTTCTCAGGCAGCCACGATGCTGCTCTCAGTCCAGGTTCCCTGCTCAGTCCAAGCCTTTAACCACCATCATGAACTGTGAGAACATTTTAGTGGCCGTTTTCCCCAGTTGCATATGCAGTGACCCTCTGGTTACTTCACTGAGCGCAGCATCAGTTAGGTCTGGGTGTGCCTTTAAAAGTAAGTGGCACTGCCAGGCACGGTGGTACATGCCTATAATTCCAACTACTGGGAAGGCTGAGTCTGTAGGATTCTAAGTTCAAGGCCAGCCTGGGCTACTTAGCAAGACCCTATCTCAAAAAGAATTAGGGGTGTAGCTCAGCGGTAGAGCATATGCCTGGCATGTGCAGGACCCTGGTTCAATCTCTGAGACCACAAAACAAAAGCTAAAAAGGAAAAGAAAGAGAAGAAAATGGCACAGACCTTGGTTTTGACCCCAGTTCACTTCTGGTGAGGGGTACTGGAGATCGAACTCAGGAGCACTCAACCACTGAGCCACATCCCCAGCCCCGTCCTGTGCCCAAGCGCTTCCAGCCCACGTATGGTATTCTCCTTGACCCTTAGACACATGCAGAGTTTATAACCAGACAACCTCTTGAGTTACTTTATGCAGATTTCTCCCTGGATCTGACAGACTAGGGGTGCTGGCCCTAGGGTCAGTGTCCCTACCACCTGTACAACTGTGTATCATAGTCATTGAGAAATTGTTCTTGATCCCAGGGAAGACTGACTTAAAAATTAAAATTGTTTATAGATCTTCCCCCCTTCCCCCCCTGTGACCCCCACACACACATTCAGGATTAAACCCAGGGCCCATGTATGCTAGGCAAGTGTTTACCACTGAACTACTCCTCAGCCGTGGATTAATTCTTTTTTTTTTTTTTTTTAACATATGTGTTTAATAAAGAAGCAGCTGGGTCTTTAAAGATACCTCAGTATTTCTGTTAGAAATGTTTTGACCCTTAACTTCATATGTTCCAAAACACTCAAAATAAGCCATAAGAAAGTGACAGAATTTGCCTGCGTGGCTCCCTGAGAAGGTGCTTGCTCCTGACTCCCCTTCTTGTCTTTGGTAGGAGCTAGGTCATCACACAGAGGCAAAGAATAAGAACAGTTTTCTGTCACTTACTGCAGGGTAAATATCCTCAGTCTGGAAATTTGAAGCTTTTTGAACACCAGCATGACTAGTAGAAAATGTCACACCTGACCTCATGTAATAGGTCACAGTCAAAACAGAAATACTCTAAAAATATTGTGCAAAATTACCTTTGGGCCCTGTGAAACTTAAGTGAATTTCATGTTTAGACTTGGGCCCCACCTCCAAGATATCTTATATATGCAAATATTCCAAAATCTAAAATAAAATCCAGAATTGGGAATGCTCTAGTCCAAGTGATGGAGATACTACACCTGAGAAGTTGTGACTAAACCAAGCACATGGCGCGGAGCCAGGAGCCTGACCCTGGGAGGCTCCCGTCAGACCAAGCTGGGCCCCAGGGTTTCCACAGCTGTCCTGTGGTGTTCAGGCACCAGGAGGAGAGGAGGCCCAGGAGACAGATGACTTCAGGGTTGAGCTGCTGGGGGAGGGGATGCCCCCTTAATGGAGAGCAGATCTGTGGCCGTGAAGTGCAGGCTCTGACCAGGAACTTAAAATCCTGAATGAGAAGGGCTCGCTGATTGGAGATCTTAGGGAAAGGTACTGAAGCATGATGGTTTGGCTCTTGATATCCTTTCTTGAATCCACAGGCAGAAAGAGTAGATACTGGATTAAAGCCTCAAGTGGGGAAGGCCTCCCCTCTTAGTTGTACTTGGAAAGCAGTGTGGCCACATTCCTCCAGCATTCAAAAGACAGCAGGGCTGGGCTGGGGCTCAGCGGTAGAGCACTTGCCTAGCATGGGTGAGGCACTGGGTTTGATCCTCAGCACCACATAAAGATAAAGGTATCATGTCTGTCTACAACAAAAAAATATATATTTTTTTTTTAAAAAATAGCAAAAGACCTGATCCCTGCCCTGAAGTGGATCTCGTAAGGAGTTTAGACACAACGTACACTTGCGTGCTCAAAGTAGCTGCACGCTCTAGCCACTCACAGTCGTGGGGCTCACGTGAGCACAGCTCTGATAGGTCAGGTATGGGCCTCCTCTGGCTGAGTGGGATAGTTTGGTCTCTTCCTGTGGCACACCCCTGTCCTGCCAGGTTATAATGAGGCTGTCCCTGTTACGTGTCTTGTTGAAGTTGAGAGCTCATATTTTCCTTCAAAAGAGAAAGACAAGAGGAAGGCACAGGCTAGCAGGAAGGGGATCCTGTAGTCCATTCTGACTTCTTCAGTGGACATCTGAGAAGTTAAACAACAGTTTGAGGTCACAATCTGGCTAGTGTCAGGGACAGCCCTCCCCCCAAGCTCCCAGAAATGGGCCCTGTGTACCACCAACCAGCAGGGAATAGAGCCCCCCCAAGCCAGGCTATGCCCCACCCCAAGATAGCCTCGGCTCCCTCAAGCTATCACCTGCCTGTGAGAGCACGAAGTGTGTGCCTGTCACTCCACACCAGCTGCAGCCAGCAAGTGTGTTCCGACCTCCCTCCTGTCCGTTCTCCCTCACAGTGGTGTGCACAGGCCCCATTTAAACCCCCTTCACACCCTCCTCTCACCCAAAATACCAAAGTCCCACCAAGAAATGGGATTCAGAGCAGTTCCAGAAAATAGATGGCGAGTGTAGGCTGTAAACACCCTCAGCTGCCTGGTGGCCTGAGGAAGACCATGGAGATCCCCACACCACCCCAGGAGCCTGCCCCCCTCAGAGCCCCTTGGGATGTGCACTGGATGCGAGTTATCACTGGGCCTGGACAGGGCAGGGTTGCTGTCCATTTATCATACAGGACAATAGTGCAGGCAAATAGAGAAATCGATAAGCCCCTTTTGCATTCTGCAGGCCACATGTGAGCGGGGCTTTGCTGCAATGGAGGAAACACACCAGAAGAAGATTGAAGATCTGCAGAGGCAGCACCAGAGGGAGCTGGAGAAGCTGAGGGAAGAGAAAGACCGCCTCCTGGCTGAGGAGACCGCCGCCACCATCTCAGGTGGGGCTGGGGCACCAAGAGCAGCGTCTGACCCACCTCCTGGGCTGGGCCTGCAACTCAGTCGTCACCACCACCCTTGCTGAGCATTCTGATGGGATTGAAGCTTTATTTTGAGAAGAGGTGTTCTTTATCTGAGGCAGGGGCTGGTTTGAGGAGTCCTTTGAGAGCCAGTGCTGCAGCACAGCTGGCTCCCCAGGGGAACTGGGCCTTCCTGTCTAGCCCCTGCCACAGATACCATCAGCATGAGGACCCTCTGGCCACATCAACCTAAACGCCAGAGGGGAGAGATGTGCAGCTTCTCTCTGGCAACACCGTCACCGCCCTGAGCAAGCCCATCCCGTCTGTGCGGTGTTGCCTTCCCTCCTCGTGATCAATAAGAATTTACCGTAATTCATCATGTAGTGGCAAGGAAGAAAGTTCTGGAAAAGCTGTGTGTTTTTATAAACTCGTATTCCAATGTAACGTCGATGTTTAATCAGTTTGGTGTTGTGGTGTTGGCGGTCCTGGGAATTGAGCCCCCAGAGTGCACTACCACTGAACCATGTCCCCAGCCCTTTTAATTTTGAAACAGGGCCTTGCTAAATTGCTGAGGCTGGCCTTGAGTCTGGCCTTGAGTCTGGAATCCTCCTGTCAGCCTCCACATCCCCTGTGGCAGGAGTTGGCAGGGAGTTCCCCCTCAGAGAACTGCTGGTGGGAGGCAGCCTGTCGGAGCATGTGTTCCTGATGGATGCAGTGTCAGTGGTGTTCACATGTCACACTGTCCTGACCTACCGAGCCCCCGGGGAAGGAATGGTACAGTGGGGAGTGGCATTGCTGGATGTGCAGCCCCAGCCTCTTGGTGCTGAGGGCCATGTCCTCACCCACAGCCATTGAAGCCATGAAGAATGCCCACCGGGAGGAGATGGAACGCGAGCTAGAAAAGAGCCAGCGGTCTCAAATCAGCAGCATCAACTCGGACATCGAAGCCCTGAGGCGACAGTACCTGTGAGTCACCCAGCCCCAGGCAGGGCCCCTGGGGGAGGCCCACTGCCTTCCTGGGTCTCTGTGAGAGCTTGAGAGTTGGTCCTAGGAGAAGCCATGGTGTCAGGCACCCCAGACCACCTTCCTCTCCAGGGGTGGGGCACAGCCCACCTGAGGCTTCCTGTACTAAAACAAAAACTGATCACTAAAATCTGAAGAAAGAGGTGCAACTGATGAAGTTCTAAAATAGCTTGTCCAGACTGGTGTAGAGGCCACCCACCCCACAATTTATTCTCCATCAATGGCTCCATCACCTCATAAGAAACGGGGAGCCTGGCTGATGCTTGGTGCCTGGTACTCCATGGCTGTACGTAGCTGAAGTCACCACAGTCTCTGTGGTCTCTGTGTGTGTGCTGATTCCCTTTCCATAAGTGGGGGATGGGGAGAAGACTCCAGAGCAGTCCCTGTTGATTTTTCCCCCTCTGTAGAATTGACACAGCTGGGACCCTTGGGTTGGCCTTGGGGGTCTGTTTATTGCTTAGACTGTGCCAAGGTCTCCAGGACATGTCCAAGGCCAGGACCCTGCCTCAGGAACAGTCAGTGCAGCAGAGCCAAGGCCACAGCAGCTTAGGTGACATCCCATAGAGTAGCCATGCTCACCTGGCTGGGCTGAGCTAACAGGTGCCAAGGCCTGGGTGACCCCTCCTTGGTTCCACCAGTAGGAAGTTGGCCCTTGTGGATCCAGGTGGCCGAGAACTACCAAAGGGCTGGCTCTCTGCATCTCGCACACCCACTGGGTCTTCCGGGGATGGCAGAAGTAGGCTCACTGAAAACAGCTCCTCATCAGGAGAGCTGCCCGCCCGAGTTTTCTTAGAAACCCGACATCCACGTTGCCGTTGGTGACTGAATTCTGTCCCTAGAAGTGTCATTTTGTAACTCCTGGGCTGTGGGGGAGGACCAGGAAGGACGGAGTGGGTTATGCCTGCCCTTTGCTGTACTGCTGTGGTGTCTAGTTGACCCTTGGGTGTGGGAAGGGGCCTGGGTCCTGGATCAAGGGTGGAGTGCTGAGCGCCCCTCTCCCCAGGGAGGAGCTGCAGTCGGTGCAGCGGGAGCTAGAGGTCCTCTCGGAGCAGTACTCGCAGAAGTGCCTGGAGAATGCCCACCTGGCCCAGGCACTGGAGGCCGAGCGGCAGGCCCTGCGGCAGTGCCAGCGTGAGAACCAGGAGCTCAACGCCCACAACCAGGTGAGCCTGAAGTCAGGTGAGGCTGAGCTGGGACCAGAACTCACCCTGAAGGTGGTCCTGAGGGTCTCTGAGCCATGGTGTGGCCATCCACACCTGCAGGCCACCCAGTGACGGCCACTTGGTAGTTCTCATCATGTTGCCAGAAACTCACTGCATATGGCCAGAGCAAGCTTGTCTGCTCAGACCAGTTGTTGGAGTTCAGAATCTCTCTTCCTGAGACCAAAAGCCGAGTGGTTTCTCTGAACCTCTCGTTCATTGCCAGGCAGGGCCCAGGACTCATCCCTGAGAGTCAGATGCCCTGTTCCTTGGGGAGTAAAACTTAAATTACCAGGGTTAGGATTCTTGTGTTTATTTTTGTCAGAATATTCCCTTAAAATTTGCTGCTGCTGCTTAGGAATTGGAGGTACATTTAAATCCTGGCTAGCCGAAGGGTACAAGTTAGTGACTTTGAGTCAGTGGAAGCTCCTCTGTGGCACATGTGACACTGCCCTCTGCCAGCCCGCCCTGCATGACCTCCCTGCCCACATCACACAGCCTAATGCTCAGGCCACACAGGACTGAACATTTAGTTGCTCGTCTAAACATGGCAGTGGCAGGGAGGCAGAAGAGCCACATCCTGCAGGAGCTCACGTGGGATAAACCACGAAACAAGCAGATACTTTATTAATAAAGAGAGGTGTTAAGGTTTATGGAATCCTCACACAACTCTACAGATACAAATAGCCCTCCATATCTCAATTTGCATCCATGGATGCAACCAATATGGTGGGAAATATTTGGGTCAAGAGTTGGATCCACACTGAATGTGTACACATTTTTTTCCTTATCACATTTTTTTCCTTATCATTATCCCCTAAACAACACAGTACAGCTGTGTGCATTGCATTTACTTTGTATTGCGTATCATAAGTGATCTAGTTTGAAGTATATAGGAGGGACTGTGGCTGTGGCTCAGCAGTAAAATGCTCGCCTAGCATGAACAAGGCACTGGGTTTGACCCTCAGCACCACATAAATGTAAAATAAAGATATTTTGTCTACCTAAAACTTAAGAATACATATTTTTAAAAAATAAATAAAGTGTGCAGGAGAAGGTGCATGGGTCATATGCAAATGCTGCTACTTTGTGTAAAAGGCTTCAGCAGCCATGCACCTGGGTATCTGTGAGGGTCTTGGAACCAGTCCCCTACCAATACCAACATTCTACATTCAACCCCCACACACAGATTTTAGAGGACTGAACATCACAGGTGTGGAGCCTCAGATGCTGAACCCCAGACACAATGATGCACATGCACATTACTCGTGACCCCGATACTTGGGTCTCTCATATTGTTGGTGAGAAATGACTTTTCCAGGTCATGATGTGCAGTTTGGCCCCCAGGCAGCTCTGTGGAATGTGTTGTGTTGTTGTCCCCCAGGAACTGAACAACCGCCTGGCTGCAGAAATCACACGGTTACGGACACTACTGACCGGGGACGGTGGTGGAGAGGCCTCAGGGTCGCCCCTCACGCAGGGCAAGGATGCCTATGAGCTAGAGGTACTGTCAAGAACCAGGTCCTGCCCTGTTCAGCCTTGCTGCAGAGGAGCCCCAGAGGAAGCAAGGTGTGGCCCTTCGACGTTGGAGGGATAGACTTGGAAAGGGGGATGAAGATATGACTCAGTGGGAGAGCGCTTGTGTAAGGCTGTGGCTTCCATCCCCAGCCATGCCCCCAAGAAATTAAAAAAAAACTTAAAGGACATGGGAAGATCCAAAGTCACTGCAAGATGGCAAGGGAGCAGTTAGCTGCCAGGCAGCCTGGGGTTCACAGGCAGGAGCCAGGGCCACCTTGAGAGGCTGGGGGGATGTTCAACCCCACCTTCCCTCCACCTGCCTCCAGCCCCACCCTCTCTCTATCTCACCACAAACACTGGCCACATAAAGTGACCCATTTTATAGCTATATGAATGCTGGGCCTGAGGTTCTGTTATACTCCACTTCTTAGGAGCCAGGAGTGCTTGTTAAATCACAGTAACTGATTCTGGTGTATTACGGTGTCCTCTTAGGAAGGTATATAGGTTTTTCTCTATTAGATGATAATTGCATCTTAAAAATGCTTCCCATAATGAGCACTGAATGAGTCTGGTAGAAATTTCTACAGGAATAGCATTTCCTAAGCCTGAGTGCTGGTCTCAGGAGATAAGTAAGTTGGCAGCAATAGTTCCTGGCCTTCCCAGGCTGAGCTGAGGTTCTTGGGATGTGGAAGGGAATGCAGTGGTTTTTTTTTTTTTTTTTTCCCTCTTCTGTTTCTTCATGTCATGTGGAAGTTTTGAGTAATAAATTCTCTGAGGTGGGCATGGTTGTCCTGCTCCCTGGTGTGTGGAGGGCTATCTTCTCACCTCTCAGTTTGTGTATGCGACACTCTGGAGGTTCCCTGGCTCCTGAATGCCAGTCCCTGATTTCTCTCATTGTAGGTCTTATTGCGGGTAAAGGAATCAGAAATACAGTACCTGAAACAGGAGATCAGCTCTCTCAAGGATGAGCTCCAGACAGCACTGCGGGTAAGAGCCACACTGGCGCTGGTGGGACTGGGGCAGGCTGCATCCCTGTGGCTCAGCACCAGCCACTCTAGGCTAGATTTCGCTTTTGTGAGGTCACAGTTTCTCAGTCAAGTTCTTTTAAAACATCAGCCTGCAAACAGGTGCTGGGGAAGTCAGCGGCCAGCCTGGCCCAGCCCTGGAGCTGTGGTCGCTTGTGTTTCCTTGTGGTTCATCAGAACGGTGACACCTAGGGGAATGTTCTTGGGGTGAGGCAAGGCCCCACCTGCCATTCATAGCTGGATCAGGCCCACCCATCCTTGGTGGCAGTTCCGTTCCCGTCACTTAGAAAATCCAAAGACGGGGGCTTTCCTCACTTAAGCCCCTGAGGTAAGATGCTGGGCAGTCAAGGCCACACTCTGCACTCACGGGACCTGGCGATTCTCACACATGTGCAGACGTAGAGTGCCAGACCTGGGTTCCCAGGCCCTGTTTCTTTCCTTTTGTGTTCAGTTCCTGCCTCTGGCAGACAGATCCACATGTTCTGTCCTATGGAGGAGCAAGGACCAGGCCTCAGGCCCACAGCCAACTCTCCCACAGTGTTTCAGCCCTGATGGGGACAGACCAGGGTTCCACAGGAGCATCCTCCCCCTGGTCGTAACTACCGTTAGCTTCGTCTGCTCTCTCCTTAGGACAAGAAGTATGCCAGTGACAAATACAAAGATATCTACACAGAGCTCAGCATCGCAAAGGCCAAGGCAGACTGCGACATCAGCAAGTTGAAAGAGCAGCTGAAAGCAGCTACAGAAGCCCTGGGAGAAAAGTCCCCTGAGAGCCCTGCTGTGGCAGGATACGGTGAGTCCTGTGGTGACTGATCATGGGGCTTTCCTGGACTTGGTGTAGACCTGCGTCTCCTTGGGACTGGAGCACAGGTGCAGGGGCTGCGCGTCCGCCCTCCTGCCCTGCCCTCCACACCGGCCACTCCTTGAGGAGCTGCTGCCCTGGCAGTGACAACTCCACAGTAATGAGGAGTCTGGTTTCTCCGTTTCCTGTAGAACTCGGCAGCTGGCTAGAAGCTCTTGCTAGATGCTTGGACTGAGGGTTATATCATAAAATCTGTAATGGCCCCAGGTGGGGCAGGAGAGGAAACCCCTTTTTGCTTCTTAGGTGAACAGCAGGACTAACTCCTTTCATTGTTGACTGAAGACATGCTGGTGGCTCTGTGAGGCAGATTACAGAGAGGCTGAAGAACTACATCTTGTCAAGCAAGATCAGATAATCCATGACTTCACTTGACCTTCATGTTGACCTTTTAAAAACCTACAAAAAAAAATAATAGTAATTTCTTCTATCAGCCAGGCACAGAAAACTACAATGGCAGTATTGACATATACTTGGAAGAAATGTCATGTGCGTTGCCAGTGAGGGGACAGATGGCCATTCTTTCTAGAAGGTCATCATGCAGTATATGGCAAAATCTAAAATCAAACCATAGACCAACTCTGGAGGGCAATGAAATGATAACAGTGATTGCTTCTGAGGAGGCAGCTAAGGTGTCCAGGGCACAGGGAGAGGGGAAGTCCTAGAATTAGGTGAATGCAGGCATACCTTTGACCTATCAAGATAACTTTGAAAAAACAAGCAGGTTACTGGGCTGAAAATAGCAGTTGCTATAAGGCACAAATGGATGGCTGTTCATGCTAGACACAGCCACTTTGCAGGACTGGATTGAACCCAGTAGTTCAGAGCTGTTCTGCCTCTGAAGTACATCCTCCAGGAGTTTGAGACAGTGTCTTGCTAAGTTGCTGGGGCTGGCCTGGAGCCTACCTCAGCCTCTCAAATAGCAGAGACTACAGGGATTACCACCACAACTGGCTAGACCTGCAGATCTTAAAAGAGGCCAGGTAGATATTTTTGTTATGACATTGAAAGAGTTATGACATAAATGTATTTAGTAAAAATTTAAAACTTCCATGTGCAGAAGGTGCGTAGGTATATGACCAGCGTGTCCATTTTGCATGTGTAGGAGTAGACTTTGTCTCAGTGGGGGGCAGGTCATGAGAAAAACCTGACCTTACCTTGTTTTGTGATGGTCCTGTGTCATCAGGAGGAGGCTGAGAATGAACAAATCTTGGGGCCAGCTGATCTGCCAGGAGCCGGAGACCCAGTCTCCTGCTGAGAGTACACAGCCCTCAGCACTTGCGCAGCTAAAGCCCTTGCAGGCACCAGCTTACTCTTCCCATGTTCTCGTGCCTTATGGTATTCAAAAAAAGCCTACTGTGTGTTATGGTTATGGACTTTATGTTCTTGCGGAGAGCTGTTCAAGGAAGTGTCAAGGTGTTCTCTGAGAGAGTGAACTTGGAAGCTTTTAAACATTCAGTCTGGTTCCAGAAGGTTCAGAAAACAAAAGGTAATGAATGGGTCTCTTTGTTTCTTCAGACATAATGAAATCTAAAAGCAACCCTGACTTCCTGAAGAAAGACAGATCCTGTGTCACCCGGCAGCTCAGAAGCATCAGGTCCAAGGTGAGTTGTGCCTAGCCCTCGTTGGGTGGGACTGAAGGGCACTGGGGAGAGAAGCAAGGACCAAGGCCAAGCCTACCATGGTGCCAGCACAGAATCCCTAGGTCCTGCAGCCAGCCCACCTACACAGCCACCTGCTGGGCTGGTTAAGCTTCATGTCTCTTTCATGAACTACCATCAGGCAGCAACGCCAAGAGGCCAGGGCTGCAAGAAGCAGGGGGTAAAGCGTTTTAGTGTCTTAGCTCGAGGCTGGGCTTCACCCCGGCGCATCCTGTGTCAGTGCTGTCTGTGTTATTCCTTATGTGTCCCCGTTGTAATACTGATGCCACCTGCCTTTGAGAGACAAAGCCACCCACCCTGCTTCAGCACAGCAGCCAGCCTTCAGTGTGCTCCCCAGAGTCTGGTGTTCGTCTGTCTCTGGGGAAAGGTGGGTGGAAGGGGTCTGGCCAGCATATTGCACTTAGGATTTATTGTGTGTGTGTGTCTCATTTTTGCTTTTTCCCCTGACAGTCCGTAATTGAGCAGGTCTCATGGGATAACTGACTCGCGCCCGCTTCCAGGTCCCCTGTCGTGTAGGTAAACCACCTCTCACCACTGCCCACCTGCCCATGCAGGGGTGGCTCTCTGCATGCACTGCTCACACCTCCATAGCACACGCCTGCGTTGTTGTTCCTTAATTTTAATTCATCCTGCTCCAGCAAGCACAAACAAAATCCACAGGAGGTTTCTGCACCCTGTTTGGGGGCGCTGACTCGCACTCTAACCCCTTCAGAGCTGACCCTGCCCGACGTGCCCCCGAGCCTGGCAGGCAGGTGTCAATGCATGCTGGACGGTTCGTGCACGGTGCTGAGCTCACACACCCCCACCCCACCCCAAACAAACCCTTCCTGCCCCCTGTCAAGAGAGAGAGCTGACAGATGCCCACTGCCCCTGGCAAGCAGTGTCTGCCCTCGCTGGAGACCTCACCTTCCTACTGAGAGCATGGCCCAACCTCCCTGTCATCCAGTGCCCCCTGCTGCCCCATTCTCATAGCCCTTCTCAGCCTCCCTGTCCTTTAGGGCTGTGGCAGCACCTGGGGAAGTGGTTCACAGGAACCTCACAGCTGCACGCAAGATACATGACTACTGCCAGCACTTTAAACCAAAGCCCCTCCCCGGCACCACACAGGGAAGTGCTGTCCCAACAGGAGGAGGCGGGGCGGCCCTGACAAGAAGTGCTGCCTGTTAGCATGAGCAGGGGACACAGTGGAGCGTGTGTGGTCACCAGCTCCTGCTGCATACAAGCCCCCCAACCTTCTGGAGCATTCTGGTGGCCAAAGGACATTAGCCTTGAAGCTTGAGTGAATTGTGTCTGCCTTAAGGAGAGTATTAAGAGACTCAAGGGTTTTTCCCTTGTTGGATTGATCATGTTTTTCTACCCAAATATGGTTTAGGCTTGATTGAAAATTTGGGGCTTTTCTCCTTAAACATGAAGTTTAGTTTAGTAAAAGGAAGCTTATTATTTTTTGGTTCATGATATTTGTGTTCCTCTCTGAGGCTGGACTCAAGCTGCCACTTGTCAGCTTTTCCTGAGTGAGCTTGGAGCTCCCTGATGGAGTTGGGCCTAGAAATGACATTTGGGGACATTTAGGGGCAGGGGAGTACAAGGAAACTGTGCTGCAGGGTGTCCCTGCACATGCATGACTCCCTGCAGGGACATTAAGACAGACAGGGCTATACAGAGTGGGTCTTTATAGTGCTGTGTGCTCAGTCAGGCCGAGCACTGGGAAGTCACTAAAGCAAAGGTGGAACATGAAGACCTTTAGGGAAACCTGCGGAAGACTATCCGGGCCACCAGGGCCAGCTCAGACTCTGAGAGGGACTAGGAAAGGGTAGAGTAGACACAGAGTAAGTCTTACCAAGTGTTTTTTCAGTTCCTGTTTGGCATGGCCAGGTTCCAATGTAAGAGGCCCGTGGTGCACAGGGCAGTCCCGTGGGCCCCAGCAGAAAGACGGAGACTTGTAGACATCATTTGGGACACTGGGTGTTGCAGTAGGGCTGGCCTCTGAGGCACTTCGACCTTGCTTTCCCTGAGTGCATGTGGAGACTCCCTCCAAGCCCCCAAGAAAACAGGAGTGACGGGGGCCAGAGACAGGGCCTTGGTGCCCTCTGGTGCAGTCTTGGCACCTTCCATGCATGTTGTCTTTACTTCCTACTTCACTCAGAAAGATAGCGAGTCTCATGCCTGTGAATTAAAGCAAACCAACTCAACAGCGGCACCGTTCTTTCTCAGATCAAGGGCAGAGAGAATTCTGTCTATGGTGTTCTCACGGGGGCCCACGTCTGTGGTAACCTCGGAGTGGATTGAAGAGACTAATCAGGAAGGGGGATGAGCCCCAAAGAGAGCTAGTGATCCCCTGAGACCTGACAGGCACTAGTTCACTTCAGGCGGAGCAGCACCTAGGAGAAGAATCCAGAAGCCTTGGAGGGAAGGCCATCTCCAGGTGTAAGGGGCAGTCCAGGACTTTGGCCTACTTTCTGCCTTAGAACTGTAGTGATCACAGCCTTCTCTGACCCCAAACTGCCCTGTCCCAAGTGTACAAGGGGAAACCTTGGGTACTGTGTAGAGCCTGCTACAACCAGCTGTGTCCGTTGAGAGCGTCCACCATGCACATAGGAGCAGTTCCAGAAGCCAAACACTCCTGTTCTTGTGAATCTCGGACTCGCAAGTTCATTTAAATCCTAAAGAAAGTTCTCAGCCAGAAAGGAGCAGGCCTGGCAATGCCACACGGCCCTCGAATCCTGCAGAGGTCTGCCTCAGGGGGCGTTCACGCCAGGCCACCTGCCTGGGTCGTGGCCACACCTCTGCCCAGCATCTCTAGGAGCCTGACTGCTACACACTCAAATGCCTAGAGTGTCTGGGGCTACTCTTGGGCTCAGAAGTGGCCCTAGACACTGTAGGCATGTGTGGGTGTTTATTCACTTATTCCATATACACAAGTCCCGAGTGTAGAACAGACGCACAGAGCTGTTCTGAGTGAAGCTGGGTTCCAGACCTCAGGAAATGTCAGGCTATCCGATGATGAGTCTCCCTATTGCTGGAGCTGCCAGGGGCTAGGGTCCCGGAAGGCAGTGTCACACCGCCCAGCATTTGGACTAAAACTGGTATAATCATGTGGATGTGAGTCGAGGCCAAGCTCTTGGTTTCCCATTCCTGGTGGGATAGCCTGTGCCCCTCCAGCTCTGAGCCCTGCAGAATCAGGCAGCGCTGAGCCTGCCCCCGACACCAGAGGGGAGACGTAAAGGGGAGATGTGGCAAGTGCGGAGCCAAGGCCCAGCCATCCAACAGGACATCTTTGAGAAAAGTCTGAAGTGGGAAACAGCCTGTCCCCTAGTTAGCCAAATATCCATACTCCAGACACACCAAGAACCCACGTGAACAAAGTATAGCTTCTGCATTCTCGAAACTCCCGGTGGTTATGTTGGCTTGTAATTAAACCCCACAACATCTGGTGATCCCCTCGGCCTTCTGCCTGGGGAATGCCCAGGATGCATCTGCAGCAGCAGGTGCCACAGGATGCCCCAGGAGAGCAGGGCCCACGTCCCAAGGTTACCTGGCTCATACGCATAGAGGAACCGACGTGCACAGGTGCACATGCAGGAAGGGCCACGGGCTGGGCAGTCACCTGGCTCGCAGCGCATTTCCCCTGGCTGGGTCAGTCTGGTTGCTCTTGTCTGAAGAGCCCTAAGCCCAGAAGTAAGCTACTGAAACACGTGGCCTTGTTTCTCTTGTTTTGTTTTTTTGTTTTGTTTTGTTGTGTTCCCCCTTTTTCAGTCGCGTAAATTTCTGCAGGGGAAAGCGTACCCCACCAGTAACACCCTCCCCAGGGGCCGTTTCTTGTCCTGGCATGCCCACTAATCTCAGGAGCCACCCCTCACCCTCTGCCTCCGCACCTGCACCCTCTGACCGAAGCCCACGCCTCAGTGTCCACCTGGTGCCCGCCACCCTCTAACACAGTGTCTCCCCCTCTCGCACCCCCACCCAGAGTCTGAAGGAAGGCCTGACAGTGCAGGAGCGGCTGAAGCTCTTTGAATCCAGGGACTTGAAGAAAGACTAGCTGCGTCCCTCGCAACTTGACACGCCCTTCCCAGCTGGTGGCGGCACGGCCCAAGCAGCTTCTTGTCCGTACTTTTGTTTGTTGTCATTGTCATCATTAACTGTGGGTGTGGATGCGTGAGAGACTGGTGTCTGGGTTGTCTGCACACTCCCTGCCATGCTGACTCTGGCTTCTTGTCCCCGTCACAGCTTTTTTTCCATGGTATCTGAAATTAGTGAAGCTCGAGCAGTGGGGCGGGGAGGGCCGTCCCACAGCGTCGGAGCAGAACGCCCTCCACGGCCCCACCGCACTCACTGTCAGTATTAAGGCTCAGCGGCCTGTTGATAAGCTAGCCCTGTCTCAGAGTGCAGGATGGGGACCTGGCTGCTGTCCCAGCTCTGCTGCCCACTGGCCGGGCACCACCAGGCGGGCAGGTCCTGTTGGGCAGAGAGGAGCCACCTGGATGGTCGGGTTTGGCCTGGACCGCAGCAGAGGTGCCTCCCCTGCCTGGTTGCTGGAGGAAGAGGCCCCGCGGGCTGTGCAGCCTGCATGCGCTGCCTTTTGGCCTGGGAGGAGGACAGCATTTGGTGTTTGTTCCACTAACGCAGCTTAGAACCACGCCCCAGATGACCCTGGCAAACCTTTCACAACCTGGAAAATGTTGGAAGCAACCATTCCTATTTTTGTTTGTTTTTTATTAAATCTTGCACAAAATCCCCGGCCCCTCTCATTCCTTCCTCCACCTGGTCCTTCCTTGCTCTGAGTCACCCTGATCTTTTCCTAACTGCTGGGATTGGTGGCCTCTTCCTGGGGCTTCAGTCTAAAGTGATGGATTCCCTCGGGGAGTCATCCAAAGGGAAGAAAGTGGCTCACTTTTCAGTTTCCTGAAAAGAAACCGTCCCGTAGCTTTTGCAGAGGCTGAGGAAGAGCCCCGCGTTAGTCAAGCCGGGGGTGTGGAGGATGTAGGAGGGTGTGGAGGATGTCAGAGTGATGAGAACAGCCCAGCAGGGCATCTGAGGACTGTAGTGAACCTGAGCTCGGGGGGTCCCCTCGCCGTGCCGGCCTCTCAGAGGGCGTACTTGCAGTGAACCTGGGGTAACAAGGCTGCTTTTCCGAGTCTGACGGGACCTTTTTAACTGTCCAAAACATTCTGCAGCACTTCGTGAAAGGCTTCTTACATTGGGGTTTCCATTCTGTTCCTGTGACGACCATTGATTCCATTAAGTCATAGCAGATAAGGAGCCCCCAGCACACACACGGGAGTGATGCAGGAGAATCGAGAGGACTTGTATCTGCAAGACCCCCACCATCTCCTCCCCTGCCATGCCCCTGTCCACTGGCCCCATTGCTGGAGCTTTCCGTTCATGCCAGTACTTGAGGTGGATGGATGGTGCCAGGTAGATGGAGGCTTTGGGAGTGAAGTGCAGACATCCCCTTGCTCAGTTAACGGACAAGCTTCTCCAGGCCTTCTGGCCCACCCTGGTGGGTGGCAGCAGGACGGAGGCCCAGGGTGGGGTGGTCTGCAACACACCCTGAGCCTCCCCTTCCGCAGCCTTAGTGAGTCCTCACCCACACCTGTAACGCCTTTGCTACTGATCTGTGTTTTCAACAGCAAAAGCACTTTAGAACTGTTTAAAATCAACTTGTCAGAAGTCCCCAGGTTGGCAGCACTTGAGAAATGGCCATGACCTGTCTGCATCCTGCTCAGACTGGGAATGTGCAGAGGGAACTCTACAGTGTCCAGTGGACCCCGAGGGGACATGCTGTGCCTGGTCTCTGGGCGCCATGATTTCACATCATTCTCTAAGGTCTGCTGCCCTTCTTCTGCTCCACTGTGGTTCCTCTGTGACCATCCCTGCAGCCCCTGGGTACCCGCTGACCCTGCCTGCAGGTAGTCTCCCCCAACCCCTGCGGTGCTGCGTAGAAATGGGCTCTGCCTGCCTTCAGACAGCACAGGGCTTTGTATAAAAGCAAGTTGGCCATGCTGTTTTTTAGACTTATTTACAGCCTCAGGAATCCTGGGACATGACCTTGAGTGTACACTGGGGGTCAGAGGTAAGGGCAGGAAGAGGCACCTGGCACCTGGACTCCCCGTGACCCCATGGCAAAGACCCACACTCACCCCAAGACAGCACTCCCCGACCCGGGTCTGGTTTGGTACTTGGGTATCACCAAGAAACTGGGCCAGCAGAGAAGGGGGACACTGGCTCCTGTCTAACACCTCTGATGGTGGCCCTGCACCTGACTGCTGCCCGGGTTGGTGAAGTCTTGAGTGTCCAGGAGTGGGCTGTCCTCCAGCTGAAGTGAACTGAACGAGGAAGAGAATGAAGGCTCTTCCTGTGCCTCCCGTGTTCCAGGCTCAGATGCCCCCTGGGGCTCTGGGGCTGGCATTCGCCTGTGTCTGCCCTGGGAGCCCCTCTGCTGGTCTTTGCTCTGCCTGTGGGCATTGCATTCCGGAGGGGGGGCAGGATGTGGAGATGGAGTGGGCGTGGGCGGTTTCTCAGGGCTGCAGCAGGTGGCGGAGGCTGTGTTGTGATGGGGGGTCCCAGTCCCCTCCCAGCACCAGCCAGCAACAGTAAGCTCTGCTCACTTCACTGTGAGGATTATTCTCCTATAAATATTCACTTGGGACCTGCTCACACCTGCGAGCAAGCCTCGTCATAGTCAGCGGGGAGGCCTCTGACCCCTGGACGACTTTCAGGAACATCTGCGTGAACTGCACCGTATGCGCCCGCCCACACAGGAGAGTCGTTTCCTGCTGGTCAGGTTGTCCGCTGTGGTGCCCGGCACCTGAGCAAGGGTACAGTGGTGCTGCAGCCTCCCTGGGGCAGGGATCCCTGCCAGTTGAGGCCACTGCTCAAGCCTCGGTTGCAGACTCTAGAGGGAGCCCGGGGTTGGATGGAATGGGAACATCCTGGGATGTGGGGAGGATGTTGGAACCGTGGGTTTCTTCAGCCAGAGCTGACATCAGAGTGGATCCTCCCCAGAGGCAGCGAGATAAAAGCAGAAGAGCTCAGAGCACAGGCCACAACCAGGCAGAGAGCCACAGGTGTGGCGAAAGTCTGCTCCCACGCTAGCCTCAGATCCAGCTGCGTGCTGACAGATGGCTCCTGTGGGCTAAACTCAGGAGAGGTGGTCACAGTTGGTAAAAGAATAAAATTGAGCCTGAGAACATGCCTGGAAGGAATCCTGAGAGATTGGCCAAGAAGCAAAATCGATGGCTTAAAAGACATTTAGGTGGAAATGTGAGTAGGACCTGCTTCCCTACAGAGGCAGACAGGGTTAGGTGCCTGGCAGGTGCCTAGAATGAGCATGGCCCCGTTCATCCCAAATGCCTGGGCACACACAGCTGGTAGCTAAGTAGCTCCTGACCTGCTGCGGCTGCAGGGTCCTGGGCCGGGGCCACCCAGCAGGTTAAGTGGGGTCCACGCAGGGGGGGCACACCCCCTACCAACAGAGTCGGTGTCCTCTGCTCCCACTGCCCCTCCTGGTTCCTGAAGACCAGGGAGCAGCCCTGGGCCCCGTGCAGCCCAATGTCTGGGACGGGCACAGAGAACACTCCGGGGTCCCTGTTGCTGTGTCTCCCCATGAGTATCCAGTGAGGGCCACATGCAGCAGGGGGCAACGTCCAGCGAGTTTTACTTTCTGCACACAGTTCAGCTGGAGGGGGACTTGGTAAAACTGGCGGGGCCAGGCTCGGCAGGAGGAGGACATAAGCCAGCGTGGGGAGTGCAGCCCTGCACCCTTAGCTCCTGTGAGAACAGAAGTCTCAGAGGGTGCTTAAGTACAAGAGCGTGACGGGCAGTGGAGCTAGTGGACTGCCCAGAGACGGGACGAGCCCACCTGAGCACACGGAGGGGCAGAGGCCTTAGGCACTGGAGGGGAGCAACGCACTGCTGTCTGGAGCTGCCCTCCGCCCAGGGTGGTCTGCTGGCAGCCTTTATTTTTTTTCAGAATTTCCTGTATATTGTCCAGAGCAAGCAGTGTAAATATTACTGAGAAGTGACTGCAGGGACTTTTGTGACAAAGTTCGTTTGGCGTTTTAAAAATCTTATGTAGATATCCCTTTTCAAGATAGGGAGGAGGACAGCTTTGGCACAGCGATGAGCCCTATCCAGCCTCCTAAGAACAAGATTTAGTGGTTACCGTATCTTGTTAAAAGCCCAGGTCATTTAATAGAAGGTCTTAGCGAACATGGACAGCATCTTAAAGATAAACCACACCTTACCTGTGGCTGAAAGCATTCTGAACACCTGTTCTTGGCAGAACCATTCAGAGTCCTGAAGGACAAAGGAAAATGGTGGCCGTCTTGAGCAGTCTGTTTAGTAATCCCAGACCTGTCCTTGGTGGGAGGTGAGGCTGAGGGCTTGGGGGCTGTCGGGTCTCCATGCCTGGTTCTGACAGTGTCCAGGGCTGTGCACAGAGCAGCTGAGCCATCTGGATCCCCAGCCACCTGGTTATTGAACTCTGGAGGTCATGAAGCTTGGAATGCATCGCATCTTACCATATGTATTTCTGTGAAGTTGGCAAGAAAACGATCACAGGAGGGCTGAGATTGGACGGTTGGGAATCCGAGGCTGCTACGGGGTCGTGATTCACAGCGGGGAGCACAGGTGGCAGCTTCTGAGAGGGTGGGGCCTTCCCCAGTTTCAACTCACCATAAGGAGATGAAGTTACCCTAAACAGTTGTCATCAGATACATGCAGCCCCCTGCAGCTTGCTATGGTCAGCATGCTCTTGGCTTTTTTCCTCCTCAGAAGTTAGTTACATCACTTGTTTAGTTTTATTTCAGCTAGGACTAGACTGTAAAGATCATGAAATCCACTCTTGTGTTATGTTTCTATCACAAAACTTCAATTAAAATGGATTTTAAAGGGTTTAGTTGCCTTTACTATTAATGATTTATCTACTGATAATGTTAGGATTCGGAATCATTAATTCAGTATGATCATTAATTCGTGTGGTTTTCCTAAAGTGACTCTGTGAAACCCTGTAACATGTCCAGTTGGCTCCTCAGCAGCTAAGAGAGTTGATTAGCCATCTCACAAACGTCCCTTCTACCAGGGTGCACGTCTCAGGTCAGCCGTCAAAGACAAAATGTGTCCTGCCCAACTGCTGAGGAGCTGGGACACCAAACACGGGCAATTTCTGTCTGTGGGACAAGTCTGGAAAGAAGCCACCAAGCCACTTCTGCCACAGTTCATCACTGCAGCAATCACATGAAGGACGTTCACAGAACAGCCCTTTTACCTGCTGTTCAACTTCTCATACTAAACGATCCTGCTCACCAGACTACAAATATGTGCAGAAGAAAACCCAGGGCCTATGGGCCAGGTCCATCAGGGCCAGCTTGGCCTCCCGGGGCTGGGCACCCAGGTGGCTGCTCCCCACCAGAGCCCGGAGCTGAGTCTGCCTCTCTTCCCCACACGATTCAAGACCTGGTGGTTAGCATCAGACTTACTTTTCTTAACAAAGTTTGTGATCAAATGTTTAATTAATTGGAAGTGTTACTTTGTCAAAATATTTATTCCCTTATGTGACATGCTAGATTCCCATGGATGTAGCTGAGCATTTTTATTTTGTAAATACTACCTAACTTTACACAAACTATATCATAATAAACTATTTTTGCATCACCCTTTGCATGCTGTGTGATGCGGTGTTGATTCAGGCAAATGCAAATGCAAACCGTGTGTGTAGGTCTTGAGCCAAAA